CCCCAATAATTCAATTTTTGATGAAATCAAACGAAGTTTAATTTTGGACACTTTTGACCTCAATATGAACCAATTTGATAGCGGGGTCCACAAATAAAAAATCTAAATACATGGTTAGATTCAGCATATCAAAGAACCCCATATATTCAATTTTTGTTGAAATAAAACAAAAGTTTAATTTTGGACCCCAATTTGGACCAACTTGAAAACTGGGCCAAAAATCAAAAATCTAAATACATGTTTAGATTCAGCATATCAAAGAACCCCATAAATTCAATTTTTGTTAAAATCAAACAAAGTTTAATTTTGGACCCTTTGGACCTTAATGTAGACCAATTTGAAAACTGGACCCAAAATTAAAAATCTAAATACACGGTTAGATTCGGCATAACAAATAAATAAATGTGGTCAAAGATTTTAAAAATCTAATGTGCTATACTGTGCAATTAAAGATTACTTCTTGAAATTTTTTCAATATTTGAAATTTGAAAAAAAAATAATATTTGAAGAATAATTCTTTTTAATTTCTGAAATCTGAAATGAGAAAAAATTGACCCCCCACAATTTCTTTTTACCCCCCCCCCCCCCTTTTTTCCCCAAAAAAATTCTTTCCCTCAAGATATGGTCATAATCTCAATCAAATTTGCAATGGAGTTTGCAACCATAATTACCCATTTAAATTTACCATAGTGCTAACTTAATCTATTTTATTATAGAACTTAAAATATAGTGTCAAATCTTTCATATGGATTTTTTGGTAAAAAAATAAGATGCAACATTTGCAGATATTTTTACTGGTCTTCCTTTATAAATATGCATTTCTTTAAACATAATTTAAAAGCAGTGTAAGGGAAGTAACCAAAACGTTGTATTTGGATTACCTCCCTTACACTGTTTTAAATTATCTTAATTGTTCATTAACCATTACTTTATTCATAATTTAAAAGCAGTGTAAGGGAGATAATTTCAATGATGTATTTGATTTATCTCCCTTACACTGCTTTAAATTATGTTTTGTACTAAAGTATTTGTCCATTAACCAGGACAACCTTGTTTTTCCCCCTTTTTTGCCCCTAATTCCTAAACGGTTTGAGCCATAACCCCCCAAAGCAAATCCTAACCATCCCTTTGTGGTATGGAAACTTGTAGTATAATTTCAGAGAGATCCATACACCGTTCCACAGTTATTGTCTGGAAACTAGAAAATGCTTATTTTTGACCCCTTTGTGGCCCCTAATTCCTTAACTGTTGGAACCATAACCCCCAAAATCAATCCCCACCTTCCTTTTGTGGTATTGAACCTTATGGTAAAATTTCAAAGAGATCCATTCACTTAAACTATAGTTAGAGTGCGAAAACCAATGTGTCTTCGGACGACGACGACAACGAAGCCAACGTCATACCAATATACGACCGCAAAATTTTTTTGCGGTCGTATAAAAAAGTTGGTTGAATAATTACTTGCTGAAAAAATGATGAAAAGATTTCTTTAAACTTGCATCCTTTGACCAGAAAAGACCTAGTTTACCTCAAGTATTTGTACTCACAAAGATTTTTAAGATAATGCAATGCCATGAATGTAAAGTATCCTTTATAGCACAAAATTTAGAACTTTTTATCAATATAACAAGTTTTTGCAAAAAATTCTTCTTGTATATCTACTAGTATGCAAAAAATTATCTAGTTGTTTTGATAAATTTTAAATTGATTACATTATGATTGCTTAATGTGCAGAGGCAAAAAGTTCATGCACATTCAGGACAATTGAAATTGAGATTGCCTTCATGTTATGATCTTTTTTTGCACAGTATCTATAAAAGACTGAAAATTCTTGAAAATATTAGTTATGAGCTTGATCACTACTGTCAGATGTGAAGTACACAGTGATTTGCGATCATTCGCCAAATTCTCCTGGAGGCTTAATATTGCTATTTAGAGGGCCCACAGAATTAACATACTATACTGAGTAAGGAACCTGTTTCAGTGGTTGTCGTTTGTTGATGTTGTTCTTAAATGTTTCTCATTTCTGTTTTTTATAATAGATTAGGCCGTTGATTTTCCTGTTTGAATTGTTTTACACTAGTCATCTTGGGGCCCTTTATAGCTTGCTGTTCAGTGTGAGCCAAGGCTCTGTGTTGAAGGCCGTACTTTGACCTATAATTGTTTACTTTTTTCACATTATGACTTGGAGGAAGAGTTGTCTCATTGGCACTCATACCACATCTTCTTATTTCTATGAAGTGGCAGTTTTGTTACCAGAAAAGCATGTCAAAACAAAATTTTAATGAAAATGGCAATTTTCAATAAGAAACTATGAAAATGACGGAAATTTTTTCTGTAAAAAAAAATAAAATTTGACCAAAATCCGAATTTTCCGTTTTGGTCAATGATCTTTCAGTTTAGGTCAAGTCTGGTAAATATGACTGTTTCCGAACCCTGTTCCAAAGTACATGTACCTTTTATTACTTTTGCCTAATCTTGGGTTAGTAGTAAAAGGGGATCATTTTTGAAAGATATGAGTTGTCACCTCATGTTTAATTTCATCATATACCGTTATATCAGCTGTATAAAGAAGACTAGAGGTAAATGTTCTGCTCATTCATATGTTCAGTGTGCAGACAGAATCCAGAATTTATGACCTCATCTTTTTCAACTTTAATGAATTCTTAATACATGTACCACTTATTATGCAACATTGAATTCAGTAGAATTTACTTCCATATATAATTACCTGGTAACTACAATTAGAAAACTTAAATGTCCATTCTACAAAAATGTAATATAACAAAATCAGAATATTATTTTACATTCATTTTACGCTATCACTTGAGTAGTAAATAGACACTTCAACTATTTTATGGAAGTGGCAAGTACCTGAGCCATCCAGTACCCCCATCCTTTTCATATATAATATATTAAATATCATAACATAAACTATTAACACAGAGATATGTCTCGCCTATTTGTTATTTTGATAATGCAAATGTTGAAAGTAAAATAGCAATACTTTAACATGTAAGCTATGCAAATATTCAAAGTCAATGAACCATGACTTAAGGTACAGGGCTAAACAATCTCTATGGAAATCATATGTGCCAATGCTAATACAACTGCATACCAAATACCATTGACTTTTCATAAGTTGTTCCTTTTAAACAAACCTAAACACAAAAATTTACTTGTAAACTTTGTAAAAGTTTCAAAGTCAATGAATCATAATGAGGGGTTGGGGTTATATAATCTCCATGGAAATGAAACTTGCAAATGCCAATACATTTGCATACCAAATATCAATGACTTAACATTAGTGGTTCATCTTAAACTGACCTAATCACAAACTAATACATGTAAACTAAGCAAAAGTTTCAAAGTCAATAAACCATGACTGAGGGGTAAAGACCAAATATTCACCACAGAAATGAGATGTGCTAATGCTTATACAACTGCATACCTATTATCATTGACCTACCACTAACGGTTCCTGACCTGATCACAAACTAATACATGAAAACTAAGCAAAATTTTCAAAGTCAATAAACCATGACTGACGGGGTGGGGCCAAATAATCTACATGGAAATGAGATATGCCAATGCTTATACAACTGCATACCAAATATCATTGACCTACCACTAGTGGTTCTCCATAAACTGACCTAATCACAAACTAATACATGTAAACTAAGCAAAGTTTCAGTTAATAGACCATGACTGAGGGGGTGTGGCCAAATAATCTCCATGGTAATGAGATGTGCCAATGTTAATACAACTGCATACCAAATACCATTGACCTACCACCAGTAGTTCACCATAAACTAGACCTAATCACAAACTAATACATTGTTGATGCCACCGCTGCTGCCGGAAACATACCTATGTCTCGCTTTTTGACTCTGTCAAGGCGAGACAAAAATCCTAACCTATCATATATTTTTTTACAAAAAATTGACCTAGAGCTATAATACCTTACTTCATGGCGAGATAAATAGATTTGACAAATATCTGATGCTTTTAAATTGTACAACTGTGGTTTTAATCTCATTTAAACAAAACACATACATCAGATTTAGTAGATTGAGATACTGTACTTATGATAGAATCAGCAAACTTATCATATACCGATATTTAATCTAAATTTATTGTCATTATCATATATCATGAAGCTTGAAATAGTAACCTATTCAAGCTGCTCATCCATACCTAATATATAGTAGGTGTCCTTCCCGAGCTATAATTTCTCAATAAAAGCTGATATTTTAAAATTTTTGGTTCACCAGGAAGTTATGTGAAATCTGTATTGGAAACACTGACCAATCTGTAGAATAAGGTCACAGTGAGGGCAACCCTGTCTGAAGGATATGCTTTACTGGTAACTTACAATAATTCTATTCACCAAATACAGAACTTTTATTATTCATAATAATTGAGAACAAAAAAATCATGTGATACAAAGTAAACAGTTTTTCTATGCAGTCACTGACAACAGACAAATGCAAAACTTCACAGCATCTGTAAACTAGATGTATAGTTAAGTATCAAGGTCTTTTACTTTCGGAATAATAAAGCTTTATACATAGGTCTAAAGCTGTCCCTTGATTAACATTCTTATGTCTTGCAGAGATAAAAACAGATGATTAAGTTACACTACTTCTTTGAATATAAAAAAAAATGATAATATATCTAAATCTATAAAAGGAAAAAGCTAACCATCTATCTTTATGATATTCAGATTGGCTGTATAGAGGCCATCACAGTTTAAAATCATTTTCAAGAATACCATTTAGCCAGTTTGAAATTTTCACCAAAACTTAGGTGTGACAGTATGCATTTGTCTCTTGTACCATTTATTAGAAAAAGTTAAATGTGTCTTTATCTTAATAATAACAACCATAACAGAGTTACAACATGTAAAAAAGAGCCATCTGTTATTTACAAAAAAGGAGATATTTCTGCTTAAAAAAAGTTGTTGCTTTCAAGACATTTTTTATCTGTCTATTACCTACCTCCTTTTTCTTATGCTTTCTATAGAAGATGGAATCAATAGCGAAGAAAAGAGAGGAGCTTTATCTTGACTGTGTGCATCTGTTTGGCCATATGTAAGTGGATGTTGTCTAACTCGACTCTCTAAATACAGAAACAGTACTCTTAATCCTTCTAAACATAATGTAGCTAGTCCTATTATAATACAGGCACAAAACAAATCTGAAAAAAAAAAAAAATGTTTTAACATGTTTATTTACAATGCAAATGAAACTAGATGTGTCGGAACAACTTGAATGGCCCTGTCTCAAAAAGTTGAAAAATCTGCAATTTCAACAACACATGTGGACACAAACATGCATGGATAGAATCCAGCTCTCAAGACCAATACTAGTTTGAAGAAAAATTTCCTTGATCAATGAGTAGTTAAATTTCAAACTATCAGCAAACAGGAAGTGGATGTACTGCAGATCTAACAAGATGTGTTGAAACGACATGAAAATCAGAATAGCGGAACGAAACATAAACTTGATCTGTAACTCATCATGGTAGACTTACATATAAAAAATCAGCGCAAAATCTGAAGGCGTGTAGAAAAAAAGTCTGTATAACTGTGCTTTCAACAATTTTCAAGATCAAAACCCGTAATTTCGGCAAAAATCAGCAGAGCGGAACAAAACTTAAACTTGATCTGTTCACATCATGGTTAACTCACATACCAAAAATCAGCCCAATATCTGAAAGCGTTAAAAAAAAAGTCTGTATAACTGTGATTTTCAACATTTTATCAAAGTCCAAAGCCCATAATTTCGGCAAAAATTAGCAGAGCAGAACAAAACTTTAACTTGATCTGTAACTCATCATGGTTAACTTACATACCAAAAATCAGCCCAATATCTGAAGGTGTCTAGAAAAAAATTGTGTATAATGGTGTTGCGGAATGACGGAATGACAAAATGATGGAATGACGGACAAGGGTAAAACTATATGGCCCCGACAACTTTGTTGCAGGACCATAAAAACCCTTACATATTTGGTGCATCCATATTTTTCTGGATTTACCAGGGTACCTTTATCAGGAACACTCAATCCGCTAAGGATATATAAATACTTGTATGCTTGAGAGCTATATAATCTATATATGGAAACTTAAAAGAATAGACAAATCCACCTACAGTCAAACTAGCCTGATAGTGTTAGTTTCTTCATAATTTCTACATTTATCAATGGAACAAAATAAGAAAGATATGTTATTTATCACATTGGTGCCAACTAGTTAAATGAAGGCAACATCAACTTTAGTTTTAGAAACTGAATAACTATCACTAAAGAGTAAGGTTTGGCACACAATAAAACCTTGTTAACCAACCATTTTCTCATAGAAACTTCTAGTACCTCAAGTCAAAGAATAATACAATCATTTCCAATTTATTACTTTGGTGCATGTTAATTGGTTTCAAATTTTGCCAGTGATTTTAGACATGAAACTATGTTGGAGTTATATTCATTTTATACTATTAACAAATTTAAAGACTTCACTACCTTTTGCATCTTTGTTATACTGGTCCTTTGATTTTCATTGTCTACAAATAGAGTCCCTAGTGTGGAAAGTGTATAATTTGCAAATTTTTTTCATACACCTTCCAAATTTATTTCTTTATATTTTATGCATAAAAAAGTAAGTAGAGGAATGAAATAACATGTAAAAAAATTTTGGGGCATGAATTTTAAGGTAAAGTAGCAATTTGGTCCAGTTTGAAAAGGTCAAAAATTAGTATGTCTGAAGCTGTCAAACTGAATTACAGACCCCCTTAACATAAAATTATCCATATTTAGAGTTAGAGCCGATAGACTTTTCTATAATTTTGATATAATTTGTCCCAAAAGTAGTTCACTACACTGTAAAAATCTTTTTTGGAAAGAGCAGGTGCGATTTTTTTAATTTTCATTTTTTGTCTAAAAAAATGCACTACGAAAAAATAACTGTTCTCGGGCCTATACTGCTTGTTTCAGCAGTGAAGAGAACAGGGTAGTTAGTCAACATCTAGCTAGAAACAATGTGTTAGACTTGTACATGTTTAGCTGTGCATAAAGTGTGTTGATTGTGCATGGGGTATTTTGAAGGACCAAAAGATGTATGGGGTTAACTGAATCTTAACCGTGGAACCCTTTTGGTAAATTTTTATTGGTTAAATGGTTAAACTAAAGAACTGTAAGAGATAGACATGGGGTCTTTAGTAATGATCATGTTTCCTGAACTACTTCAATAGTCAATGGTCATCATTTTTCAAATTACACAAAAACAGAAAGAGATATTGAGAATCTAATGAATGAAAAATGTTCTAAATGACAAAGCAAATTGCATGAAATATAAGGAGAGTCCAAAGGGGTATTCCCAGCCCTATAAAACCACATATTTTCTTGCTTTTTATGTCACGATGAATTGAATGATCTATAGGGTGAGTCCCCATGGGTCATCCCCACCATTGACATTTGAGAATTTTAATAAATTAGAACAAGAATGAGATATATACCCACCCCTTTATCCTACTTATTAGCTTTTAATGTGTTTTCTGCATGCATTTTCAATCATTTATCATCAATTTCTTCATCTATTGTCTGAGCAAAACATTTCAGATTTTTCTTCAACGTAATGATGATTTTATAATAGGACATAACACTAGTCTGTCTCCAAATATTCCCTTTTATTAATAATATTCCTAGAAGTGTATAGGAGGCAAGATAATATTAGTAACACATCATGATAGTGACCCAATACAATATATATATGGGGTCAGTAAATTCCATTTGGGGTCCAAGCTTCTCACCCCATATGGAATTTACTGACCCTGTATATATCATATAAGTTCACTAGCACACTGTGTAACTGTAATAATACACTGATCTCACAAAGATAAACACTAGCACACTGTGTAACTGTAATAATACACTGATCTCACAAAGATAAACACTAGCACACTGTGTAACTGTAATAATACACTGATCTCACAAAGATAAATATGTAAATACATAGAAATTTATCTCTATCACTTCAGGAAACTTCAGAAATTTTTTTTACAGCACAATGTTAAAATTGATATACATTTAATTGTATATCTAATACTCAGACTCTAAGCTATGACAATGTGCAGCAGAATCTGAATAGCTTTTGTACTAACGGTAAACTGATACTACCTACCTCCATTGTTCTTCACTGATATACCCTCAAATAACAAATTTTCAATTGAGACTTTTGTAGTGAAATATTCCTGCAAAAGAACAGAACACTTGTAATCATTGTAGCATTATAATACTATTTTTTCCTTATATGAATGTTCAACAATGAAGTAGATGAAAGATTATTTATCTCATATTTTTTCCAAATATTTGATACATAAATGATATCAATCCAGTCATATGTCCTTAACATTGGTGACTGTTAAAGCTCTCATTATGTGGATACTTGACAGTAGGGTATCTAGTTTCCTTTATCATGTTTATAAAAACATTTTATTTAACACATTAAATTATATATCAAAGCATTGTTGTTGCTGTGATTCAGCTAATAATTTAGCTAGTCTGATATTTTTTCTTTATACCAACTCTTGTAAAACATTTCAGGATGGCCATCAAATTTGGGATAAATGATTTTTGCCCAAAATGTTAATTTGTGTTCCGACACAATTTCTATTAAAAAAGCTAGAGAATATGCCAAGAGAAATTCTAAAATCAAAACTTTAATAAAACAAGTGAAACTGCTAGCTACTGCTCACTGATGATACCCCCACCCAAATATTTGACGGTAAACAGGAAGTTGTTGAGTGATGAATCTGAAAACACATCACACGGTATAGCTGACTTATATAAAGCCAGAAACCAAATTTCAGAAATCCTTGTATAAATGTAGTTCCTGAGAAAAATGTGACGAAAATTTTCAACTTGGATGTCATGTGTAAAATGATGTAAGTGTTCGGTAAACAGGAAGTTGTTAAGTGATGAATCTGAAAACACATCACACGGTATAGCTGACTTATATAAACCCTGAAACCAAATTTCAGAAATCCTTGTAATGTAGTTCCTGAGAAAAATGTGACGAAAATTTTCCACTTGGATGTCATATGTAAAATGATGTAAGTGTTTGGTAAACAGGAAGTTGTTGAGTGATGAATCTGAAAACGCATCACACGGTATAGCTGACTTATATAAACCCTGAAACCAAATTTCAGAAATCCTTGTAATGTAGTTCCTGAGAAAAATGCGACGAAAAATATTCATGGGGCGGACGGACGGACTGATGGATGGACTGACGGATGGATGGACAGACAGAGGTAAAACAGTATACCCCACTTTTTTAAAGCGGGGGTATGAACTTTTTTAAAGCGGGGGTATAAAAACAGACTACACAAGGGTGAAACATAGAACATTGTTTTCATTATTAATTACCAGAATTATCTTCATTTTTAATATCTATATTCAAACATAGGTATACTATTTTTCTTACTCATGTTAGGATCTTTTATTGATTTATGATCAAAATTATATGACACTGTAGATGAATGGTTTTTAAGGTTATTTACATTTCCATAATCTTACTAGAAAGTTTTATTCTATTGCCCAAAGAATGCTCAACATTGTTCTTTTGATATTTCAATTTTAGAAGATGCACTGATTTTTACAAACATTCCTGAATTTAATAATTTTGATATGGATCGAAAGAAGTATTTTCAAATTGAAGTTTGACTTTATATTTACAACAACAACAAAAATCAAGACTAGTAAACAACTCTTATTAAAGTAAGTGTTCCTTCTTCATTGGGAAAAATTCATTTCCTGTGTTCAAATAAACATGTATAAAAATTCGTAAGGGTTCCGCGGAACCCAGTGTCTCGCCTACTTTTGCTGTTAGTCACAGCCTCAACAAAAATAGGGAAAAATTATTAAAAATTTTCCTCGAGATACTATCTTTTGATTGTAAGAAGCTTCTATCCAAGTTTGGTAAAAATCCAGGATGGTTTATGAATCTAATAAATGTTTTAAAAACTTTAACTGCAGACTGTATGTAATGTTAACTGGAAGAAAACTAAGTCCATTTATAAGTATTATACGGAAAAACAGGAAATAAATGTTTACAAAATTTCCTTCTAGATACTAGCTTTTGATCATAAACAAGCTTCTGTCCAAGTTTGGTACAAATCCAGGATAGTTTAAGAAAGTTATTAAAACTTTAAAAACTTTAACCACAGAGTGAATGTAATGTTAACTGGTAGAAAAACTAAGTCCATTTATAAGTAAAATACGGATAAACAGGTTTGGTTTTTTACAAAATTTACTTCTGGATACTATCTTATGACCATAAACAAGCTTCTGTCCAAGTTTGGTAGAAATCCAGGATAGTTTAAGAAAGCTATTAAAATTTCAAAAACTTTAACCACAGAGTGAATGTAATGTTAACTGGCAGAAAAACTAAGTCCATTTATAAGTAAAATACGGATAAACAGGTTTGTTTTTTTTTTTTAAATTTACTTCTGGATACTATCTTATGATCATAAACAAGATTCTGTCCAAGTTTGGTAGAAATCCAGGATATTTTAAGAAAGTTATTAAAATTTCAAAAACTTTAACCACAGAGTGAATATTTGTGGACGCCGCCGACGACAATGACGACGACGGAATGTAGGATGGCTATGTCTAGCTTTTGCGACAAAAGTCGCAGCAGGCTCGACAAAAATACTTAATAATGTTAAATAGCAGTATGATGGGGAGTAAATGCTCAGGTTATTGTTATGCAATTTTCTTTATTGTTTCAAGCAAATTATTTATAATTTAATTCAAATTACCCTCAATTATTGACTAATATCAGATGATCTCAACACAGATTTTACAAGTAAATTGGACCCTGCTTGTATTTTCTAATAGATATTTTATTTTTAATTTTTTCTTTGAAAAAACTACATCTTATTAATCCTTTATCATTCACCTTTAACATATAATTTACAAAATCATTGTATTTATTGTATTTTAGGTATACTATTGAGGCCAAGAATTGTTTATTAAGTTTTACAAGAGATATTTACTTTAGTCAATTAAGATTGGAGGTGATTCCAATTATTACTCACATCTTTGAGTGTAATTGTTTGTAAATCACACTGATATTGTATCAGTACTCTTATTTGCCTTAGAAAAGAATTGAAATAAAAGTATTTGAAAGAATTATGTGGAGATCCACTTTGATAACAATATACAGATTGAACATAATTTTATTACTTTAATTGCTTTTAAAATACTTTCATAATTAATAAATTTGATATCTTTAAGTTACTGTTTCACATTAATTCATAAATAGTAATATTTAATGAATTTTGATTTACAATGGAACTATATGCAAGTGTATGTCTAAATTAAGTAGCTGTATAACCTCTCTTTTCTTAATTTTAGGACAAATAACATGTCAAAAGTTAGCAATAGAATATAAAATGGTGTTTAATAAGCTATCTGTAAATCATTAACCATATCATTAGCTGTATGACATGTACTCAATTCAGAATTTAAAATATTCTACACCATCTTTAAATCTGGAGTGACCACATACGAATGTAGATCCAGCAAGGCTTGATAAAAATAATGACTACGGTATATGCTTAGGCAAATTAAGATTTAAATTTACATTTAAAAAAATTTGTAAGGGTTCCGCGGAACCCAGTGTCTCGCCTACTTTTAGCTGTTAATCACAGGCTCAGCAAAAATGAGGAAAAAAATTAATAAAAATATTCCTCTTTATACTATCTTTTGATTGTAAGTAGCTTCTGTCCAAGTTTGGTAAAAATCCAGGATAGTTTATGAATCTAATAAATGTTTTAAAAACTTAAAACTGCAGACTGTATGTAATGTTAACTGGAAGAAAAACTAAGTCCATTTATAAGTAAAATACGGAAAAAATGGAACAAAATTTCCTTCTAGATACTAGCTTTTAATCATAAACAAGCTTCTGTCTAAGTTTGGTACAAATCCAGGATAGTTTAAGAAAGTTGTTAAAATTTTAAAAACTTTAACCACAGAGTGAATGTAATGTTAACTGCCAGAAAAACTAAGTCCATTTATAAGTAAAATACGGAAAAAATGGAATTTTTTTTTTACAAAATTTACTTCTGGATACTATCTTATGATCATAAACAAGCTTCTTTCCAAGTTTGGTAGAAATCCAGGATAGTTTAAGAAAGTTATTAAAATTTCAAAAACTTTAACCACAGAGTGAATGTAATGTTTCCTGGCAGAAAAACTAAGTCCATTTATAAGTAAAATACGGAAAAAATGGGAATTTTTTTTTTACAAAATTTACTTTTGAATATTATCTTATGATCATAAACAAGCTTCTGTCCAAGTTTGGTAGAAATCCAGGATAGTTTAAGAAAGTTATTAAAATTTCAAAAACTTTAACCACAGAGTGAATATTTGTGGACGCCGCCGACGACGACGACGACACCGACGGAATGTAGGATCGCTATGTCTCACTTTTTCGACAAAAGTCGAAGGCTCGACAAAAAACCATAAACATGTTTTGTCTGTTTCACCTCCCTTTGTTCTATCAGCAGGAACTCTCAGAGACACAAATTTCAAATTAGACTAATTAGGATAACTGTGACAAAATTTTGGTTTCAATTGGCCCACAATGATTTTTGATGAGAAGTTTTTTTTAGATAAAGGATGACAGGACAACAGACCCACTATAAATGAAAATAGCTCACAGTAGCTGCAGAATCGTAGCTCACAGGTCCTTATATTTTTTAACAATTGTCAATAATATCATAAGGACACATGAGCTACGTACAGTTCCGCAGCTAAGTTCACAGTTGCCCTTTGGCTTTTTTCAAATTCGAAATTGAAATCTCTTGTATCAACATAAGCACTCAACATTAAACATGTAAGGGAAAATGCAGAAATGTGAGTCGTCTATTGCCTAAATTATTTTTTTTAATGTTTTTTGTGTAGTTTCTTTTGGTTGTTACATAAGTGGCATATCCCCAATGTTTATGTCACAACTGTATGTTATCAAATCATCAAGTTTGCTCCTAAGTCAAGATTCAAGAATTTTATTAACCAATCATGGACCCTCAAAGGGTCATATACTCAAAATATTACAATTCCATAATGATTATCATAGGACATAGCATATCATAGTAGTAAAAATTTTATTTAGCTAACAGATTGAACATAGAATGTAAAATTTTATGGCTTATTATAAAGACCACTCACTGGCATCATATGCATCATTTTGTCGTTGAAAATTTTCCTATAAGGAAACTTTTACTCTCTACTTATTATCATTTTAAATAAGGACTGATATTAAACATTCTTCCCTTTGTTTTGTCAACATTAGAGTCTCCATTTTGCAGATCATGTGACTAGCAAATAAAGTTTTGAAAGGGTAAATATGATTGGTCGATTTAAAACATTTCACTTTTCATTGGATAATTTTTTGAACGACACGAAATTCAACTTTTGGTATGGAAGGAAATCGTAAATAAAAAAGACCATGTGAAAATATGCTAGCATACAGAGCAAATAATGACAATACCTACTTCTAAGACATAAATATTATATTTTCATGGCGGACGTAAATCAAATCGAGGGTTCACCCCAAATTCACGCCATTTGGGATTCTTTAGACAAGGTCAATGGAGAAGGAGTTGCAACATCAACTCCAAACAGTTCCACTGTCGGGACACGCCCTCCTCGCAGAAAAAGTAGAAGATCTTGGTTTGACAAGCCTTCCTCGAAGTATGAAATCGCAGTTGAAAAGAAAAGACGCTCTAAGTGTCGCAAAAGTGAAGTAGAAGAAGAAATCTTGATGCTGACACATTTCACAAATCCTCCCAAAATCAGCTTTGGAACTCTCAAACCAGGACAAAACAAAAGCAGAACTCTAATAATCAGAAACCCACATGACTATGATCAAACTGTTAAGGTTGAAAAGTTTCCACACAAGAAAAATTTTTCAGTTCAAACTGTTGAATTTACTATACTTGCAAAGGAAACATTTCCATTTGAAATAACGTGGGAACCAGAAGATGAAGGCAATTTCAGAGAAATGATTTTATTTGTGGTAGACAATTCATACAGACTTCAAGGATTTGTCTTTGGCACTGTAGAAGCACCAAAGAAGAAAGTCACAGTATGTATTTTTTCAGGCTTTTACCATATAAAACTGACTGAACCAGGTCTGTTGCCCAAAATCATGTTTGCTCCCATTCACGTTTGCCCCTTTAACATTTGTACCCGGGGTACATCCACACCCTTCACTTTCACACCCAATAGAAAGCCTTTTTGAGATTGTCCACAGTAGTCTCAATCTATAAAAAAGTTCATATTGTGACTCACAGGTAATTTTTTATATAAATATCAATATGCAGAAAACCTAATAATCAGAATATCAGAATATAATATGTGACATGATTATATGTATTTTGTTTTTCAGAAAAGAAAAGGTCTCCTTGGTTCAAAAGTACAGAAGCCCTTTTCTATTATTCACACACAGAGTTTAGCAAACATTAAAAAGTCATATAGTCCACAAAAAGGGGAAAAAAAGAGAAGTAGTGAACAAGTTCAGCAAAAATCCAATATTGAAAATGAACCTCCAAGCGAGATAAATTTACCAGACGAAGCTGTTGAAATTGGTCAACATGGTCAAGAAAAAGATGTTGAAAGTAAGAGGCGCAACAGTCATCGGAGGTCAAGTACATATGTGAAAATGCCAGATTTAGGGATGTCACCAATAGGATTACCGCCTGGAACAGGGAAAAAAACTGATAGTAATGATATTTTACACAGTACTGTTCGGTCTGATATTGAGAGTCATAGGTCTCCACAAGAAGGCTTAGACCTTGAGGAACATAGATTTATTAGCCTTACACCTCAAACTCCTGAAAACCAGAAGCTTGGTAGTAATGAAACACAAGGTTTTATATCACCAAATAGTTTTTTGCAAGATTCATTGTGTCAAAATACAGACAATGCTGTAAGCAAACAACAAAAAGACAGTATCCCAGAAAATAGAGAAAATCATAAAGCACATGAAATTAAGAATGCAAATCAAAATCAAAAAACTTTTTTAAGTCCAGACACCTTTTTAAAAGATTTGAATACTACTTTAGATGGTGATAAAAAAGAAGAGTATGCTGCCAACAATATTCCAAGTCCTGATACAGTTCTGAATAAGTCCATACCTCATGACATATTAGTTAGGCAACTTGATTCAGTGAAGACAAAACTACAGAAGAATCAAGTATTGAAAGAAAGAAAAAGTACTACAAATTGTATTTCAAGAAAACCTTTAAAATCTGCAGAACCTAACAATTTAAGGCGTGAAACTTACACAAAATCTTCAACTGGCATATGTAGCCATGGCCAACAGTCAAAAACTATCAACCACACAAACAGTTGTCGGAGAGAAACATTTTTCAAAACAGACAAGAAATCAAACCCATTTGTTGAAGTTCCAAGTACGTGTACCTCAAGTCCACGACGAACAACATTTACAGTAAAAGGGGAAAACAAACCTATAAACAGTAAAAGGAGATTTGCAAAGCCAACAACAAAATTAGACAAAATGTCAAAACAAAATGGACACTTCCACATCGAAAAGGATATTTTTACCACTGAAACAATAGTTCAGGGTGAAGTAGAAACTGTCTCAACTACAAAAATCACAGAAGTTGTTGATACATATACACATACTATTATTGATAAACAGGTAATTCCTACACCTGAAAGATCAATTTCATTGAAGGAACATCACACAACTACAAAAACTGAAGTCTCAAAAACAGTAGATTCTAGTACTGTTGTAAAAAACAGAACATTACCTACACCAGAAAGATCATTGTGTGGAAAACAACTGTTTTCACCACATACTGGACACAGTGTTTATAGTAGCAGTTCTAACAATGGTGATGTTTCAATAGGTTCTCCAAGGCGTCTGCCAGATAGTCCTTTAGCAGCTGTAATCAGTAAAAGATCCTCTATGACTGTGACCAAGGAAAAACCCTCAGAGGCTCTCATGGAGCAGACAGAAAGAAGATTGTCAACTTGTCTTTTTGGACAGGATGGTGAAAAAGATGGGTCAGGAAATATGGATGAGGATTCTTTAGAAAAGAAAAGCATTAGAAAATGTGAAATTTCTGTCATTGAGGAAGAGAATGAAAACTTGTCAAACCCTTTATTGAGTAAAATATCTTTTAAACAAAATTACAATATTGAACTTGATACACCAATGCAGGAAACAAGATTGACTAAACAGAAGTACAATGTTGACCTCGATACACCAATGAGAGAAGCAGGATTGACTTACCAGAATTACAATGTTGAATTGGATACACCAATGAGGGAAGCAGGATTGACTTACCAGAATTACAATGTTGAATTGGATACACCAATTAGGGAAGCAGGATTGACTAACCAGAATTACAATGTTGAATTGGATACACCAATGCGGGAAGCAGGATTGACTAACCAGAATCATAATGTTGAATTGGATACACCAATGCGGGAAGCAAGATTGACTAACCAGAATTACAATGTTGAACTGGATACACCAATGAGGGAAGCAGGATTGACTAACCAGAATCATAATGTTGAACTGGATACACCAATGAGGGAAGCAGGATTGACTAACCAGAATTACATTTTTGAACTAGATACACCAATGCGGGAAACAGGATTTACTAAGGATGTTTGCAAAATTTTTATTGATGATTTAGGAACCCATCATGCCCATGACACACAACTGAAAAACACACAATGTACATCAAATGGAAATGGGATCAGTGACGATATGTGTTCCCCATTAAAACCTAAAGAATCTTCTGAGATCGACATGTCAATGAAAACTTATGAGTCTTTTGAATTGAAAGGAGAAAAGCATATTGAAGCTGCACTAACAACCAATTTTGATTTTTGTGAAAAAAGGTCACAAGAGCATTGTGGGAAAGATTTAGATCTTGACCTTCCAATAAAGCATCTAGCTGAAAACAAGAGAGAAATTGAAAATGCAGAACAATATACAGAGACCACAGTTAAGCGAAGATCATTTTGGGAAAAACCATGCGATCTCAGTATTACCTTTGAAAATTTAGACACTTCAATGAAGGAGGTTTATAACAATATGGATATGGAAGAGAGGAAAAAACATAGACGGTCATTTTGGGAAAAACTGGATGAATCAAAGTTGACCCCTGTAATATTAAAAGGAATAAATAATTCTGGAAATGTAAGTGATCATGATGAATTAACAAGTCCTATACATGAAAATATTCAGAAAAACACATCTTCTGTTGAACATAGTGATCAAGAATCAGATCAGATGGGTTCTGTTGAGAAAAATAGCAGTTTTCCTACAACGCCGTACCATTTATTGCCAAAGACACCAAATCCTGATAATTCCAGACGATCAACACATGTTGTTGAAAAGCCCAAAATTTTCAAATTAAATGAAGTTCAGAAGAAAAAACTGTTTGATGATGAGTCAGATAATAGAAGAGATAAAGTCGCGATAAATATCTGTTGTGATGAAAATATTGTCACAAGCAGCTCTATTGTTCCTTTAGAAAATCATAACAAGGAACACAAAGGAGAACAGAGAAAGGAAGATGTATTCAATGAAGAAATCATAAAAGAAACAGCAACATTGGAAAACAAATTCTTTAACAACAACCTTAATAATCCTCAAGACAGAAACAGTTCCATGAAAGACTCAAGTATCAATCCATCTGTAAATGTCAATGAAAACAAAAATCCTAATGGCCTATTCTTTATCTCTTGTTCTTCAACAAAACCAGTTGATAAACAAATAAAATCTACTGTGACAAAATCCATATCGAGGAAGCAGCCAAATAAACCTGTCACCACCATTCAGAAGAAAGTTAGTCCTAAGCGTCCACTGAGTCAAGCAAGAATGTCTGAAAATAAAAGGCGTAAAACTAATGAAACTATTCAGCAAAATGATGAGATCAGAAATAACAAAAAGACAGACAGAACTAAACAAAGTACTGTCAACAGACCACCATCACAAAAAGGTAGGTGTTTACATTTAAAATACAGAAAAAAAACCAGGAAAGCATTGTAAATAGGCAAACATCACATGAAGGTGCATGGATATTCATATATCTGAAAAACAGAGAAAACCAGGCAAAACACTGTAAATAGAAATCCTTTGTATAAAGTTAATTTTTATTTTGGAACACCAAAAAAAAATGGTAAAAAGCAGATCATCATATTAGATAAATAGTAATGTAATATATACATGTAAACATGGTAAGTCATATGAAAGTATTATAAAATATTTTTAAGTGTGAAAATTGAAACATGTCCTTGAAGCCACAAAATGGAGATACAGCATGAAAAAAAATTGATACAAAATTTTAATCATTGTAAAAAGAACGCCAGCAAGAAAAGTAATTACCGTTTGATCCAGTTTCCCAATAAGCTTGAAAGTGTGAGGTGACTGATCTTTGCTGTTGATGGTATTGTTCTCACATAATACTTTGGATTATATTGAATGTACACAAAGGATATGGGGTATCAATCCATGACACAAAATCAGTACATGCACAGTAAAAAAAAAACAAAATACAAAAAGCAAAGAAACAGTGCTTTAATTGCTATTATTCTTCTCACTTCACTGCAAGTTTGAGACGGCCTCTAGCAAGGGCTTGAGGGGAATTCGGTGCTAAAATAATTCAAATAGACTGTGTAAGATGTAATGCCACCAAATCAGGCCTGGTCACTTAGAACATACTGGAAAGTAGTACATATTTAAAACAAAATAGGTCCTACAAGTAGGTGTAAATATCAAGTGATATATAATTTTTTTTAATTTGGTAATATAGGTATCAAATGAAAGATGAAGGACTGGTGATCTTTGTAGAACACAGTTTGACTGATAATTTTGAATGATACAAAAAAGAATGAATGAATTCTAAAATTGAGGGCAAACTGGTTTGGTGTGTCCAAAGTTCCTTAACCAGTAGTTTCATGTGCAAATAACAGTATATTGATCCCACCCACCCACCCCCCCCCCCCCCCCCCCCCCCCCCCCCCATAAATGTACATTTATATAATTGGTTGTGTAATCATAGATGCAGATGGTTCATTATTTAACAATTAGATTTGTAATTTGCACAAAGATAACTTTATACTTTTTTCTAGGAAGTTCAGCTGTCCAGGGTAGAGTCAAAGCCCCTGCCAAGGGTGTAGCTCAGTCAAAGTTACTTTTGATGAAGAAAACTAAAACAGGTTTGTTGCAAGAAAACCACATCAACTGAATATTATAATTTCAGAATTCAATGTAAACCTCGTGAACTACCACATTAAAAATCAAGCTCTAGCTACTTGCCTGTCTAGTAAAAAGCAGTGTTCATATTCTTATCACATCAACATGATATGGTCTGATAGGCACATGTATAATTTGCCACTGGACATTAAACAATGTTTCAATCCAAGTAATCAGATCCATTGATACCAAAAGTTCAATAGAGCAAATTTGTATTTTTCATAAAAAAAATATCCTATATAATATGCATGTAGGTAGCTTGGTAATTTATTTTTCAGTTAGATTTCTAATATTTGTCATGTCTACAGTCAGTATATAATTGAAAATGTCTCATTTTAAGTTGACACAAGAAGTTTGACCTTGATCCCACATAAAATTTCAACATATAATTCAGACATTACTAGTACACATGGATGACACTTTAGTTTTAACTACTATTACATTTTTTATTCCTTTTTGCAGCTTTGCCAAAACACCCATTACCCTTTGCTGCCAAGAATATGTACTATGATGAAAGATGGATGCAAAAACAAGAAAGAGGATTCGTTCATTGGCTGAACTTTGTACTGACTCCACCAGATGAATATCAACAGACTACAAAGGTCAGAGGTAAGTGGGAAAATTAATATTGTGTGTAAAACATATACATCTGCTATATTGTGTGTAAAACATATACATCTGCTATATTGTGATTAATCGTATTCTCAGTACCCAAGTTCATTAACTTTTAAGTCAATTCATTTCAGTAGGGAAAGCTTTTAAGTGTGTAAATTGTTGCTATAGTACTTAGCCCTCTACTATGTCTTTATTTTGCAAAACAAAACATTGATCATTGATTTAATCCTTCTGCTATAAAATGTCAAAACTTCAGGGTACCATGACAGAGCATCATGCTCAGCATTTTTTGGGGCATTTTACTCGATTTAAAGCAAAGAAAAAAAATAACTAACTCCAGTGACAAAATCTGAGAGTCACATATAATATACAATGGAAATATAAAAATTATATATGCAGAAAGACTTCAATTAAATTCTTTAGATAGAGATTTCAAATTGTACCCAGATATAGTACATTTCAAGAAAACTAAAATTCAGTAGACATACCAAACTGAATTTGATGTTAATAACAGGATGCCACACATTTTTCTTCTAATCCTATATTGATTTTTGGTAGCATAAATTTTGATTACATTAAGGATTTAATGTATCTTATAGCATATACTTTTCAGTGGATGCTGGTAGTTTATGTGTAGATAACAATAGAAACAATGTCAAGCTGGCTCCTTCACGTGAAGTTCTGTCATTCAGAGCATATTCTCAACATAGACGATTGAACCAGCTTAGGAGAGCAGCATGTAAACTGTTCCAGTCACAAGAAGTTGTCCATGTTGTTCAAAAAGTAGAAGTTGAAGTAGAGAGCGATAGATTGTACATTAGGAAAGACCGCAAAGTTCATGCTGATCTTGGTGAATTTTAAAATTTTATTTATAGATTGTCATATAAGCCACATTAAATCAAGTTAAATATTTTTTATTTTGTATTAATGTTTATATTGTATGGTAAACAAAAAATTTCAGAAAAGAAAACAAATAGAAATACTTCTAACAAAACAATTAAAAAACCTCAAAACAACATGATATTAAAATACAGCCGTTAATACTACATGCTTGTGGCTTCAGACAAGCTTGTTGGGCTGTTGATCAACCCTCACATTAACTTTGGACATTGATGGACAATCAATACAATGCTAGAATCTATAAAAATCATTTGAAATTGACTTATCACATCAGCAACCTGGACATTAACATCTCGAAAGGAATATCAAAAAGCAAGACATACAGACCAGAGATTAAGTCATACGAAAGTCAATTTAAAATCCTAATTCAGCTGATAAATAAAACATGCTTGTAATACAATAAAGTGGCTGTTGAAAACAATTTATACAATAACTTATAGTTTGAAGATTTATGTTAATCAAGTATATAATATATACTATTAATTCAGAAAATATTGTTTGCACTTACTATGGTATTTGTTTATCAATGAACAAAAATTTTGTATATAATATAATATATATAAAAAAGGTGTTTGAATATTTCAGGTTTAAAGCAAGCCATTTTAGATATGTTGTTATCATTCAATCCTCTATGGTTAAGGATTGGTTTGGAGGTAATATATGAAAATTACAAGATGTAGTCTGATGGCCAATGAGACAACTCTCAACCTAAGTCCAAATGGTGTTGATGTTTGCAACTATAAGTTACGTTACGTCCTTCAACAATGAGCAATACCCTACCTTATAGTTGACTATAATAAAAGACCCTGACATGACAAACTGTGAATAAATTCGAACTCAAAAACCAACAGCCTGATTAATGACAAAATAAACTAAAAACATATGGCAGACAGCAACCAATGACAACTGAATTACAGGCTCTTAAGTTGGGACAGGCACCTGAAGAATGCGTCGGGTTTCTTTATACTAAATCCTCTTTATTTAAAAAAATTGGTTAAAGGTTATAATTGTCTAGTATTTTATATATCCGTACTTAAGCTGACATCTATAACTAACTCACTTGAAACTGAAAGATAGTCTCGTATGGTATTGATTTTGCTACTTTTTGAAGGCCATTGTACTTGTTCATATCCTTAACCTTTGGTCTTTTGTAAATAGTTGTTTCTTAAGCAATCATGCCACATCTCCTTATTTGTATACAGTAGGGAATTGCTTTTGAAATAAGTTCAATAAAGACACCCACTTTACACTGAATGAACAATATTTCCCACCAATGATATATATGACAGTTCAAACAGAAATTCCTACATCATCACATATGACCTTGAGAAAAAAAGTGACATAAAACACAAAGTTGTAAGCTTCATGTGAATTTACATAAAAGTCTAATAAAAAAATCCTTGTCATGTTAAAAGAAATCTGTGAATTTGATTAAAGTATCAAAGAAAAGAAAAACACATAAAGTCATAAAATTAAAAGTAATCTGACCTTCAATAGACAAAGGAAATTTATTTTACAATCAACTTTGCATTATAAGATAAGCAGCATATCATATGTATATTATATTTCAAATTTTTGGAATAAGTCTGGAATAATTTTATTTTATCAAAGAATATTATGACACACAAATGTATTATGTAAAGAAATAAAGTATAAATAGTGAGGATAAACATTTGATTATAAATATATTTTATTTCAGACAACATTTGGTGAAGTTATAATGATACAGAACAATGGAGACGTGATTGGATTGTCACGTTTCATTATTACAAGGGTTTTAAGTAATCCTGATATTGCCTGTGAATTTTCTCATCCGTCAGTACCACATCTGTATAATCATGGTAAAATTTTTACAATCAACTGATTTATGTTTCAGTGTTAAGAATGTTTTATAATTTAATGTAAAGATATTGATCAAATTTATGCAAATTGAACATAACTTCTCCTACAGTTAAGGAATGTACTGAAACTTGACTGAATTACTTCACACTTTATAATATTGTGCACAATTTTCACCATCTGTCTATAATATCGTGCATCCCCATATTTATTTCTTGATCTGGTTGGTTTTCTTGTAGCAAAATGTGAACTTTACCATTTCAATTCAAAATGTCCCACAATTAACTCTGGAATGGAACAAAACATGAGGTAACTAATTCATACCCAATATAGTTTGGCATCTCTTATTGTATTTTCTTGATCAGATTGATTTTGTAATTTATATAGCAAAACATGGACTTTGCCTTTTTATCATTTTCTCATCCTAAAATCTAGTGTGCATGGAATACTATTGATTTCTTAATTTGTTCACATATTTTCTTCATTGCTATCCTTTGTTACTTAGACAAGTGGAAACAAACTTCAGTTTTTATTTTGTAGGGTATGCCGAAGCCATCTCCAGACACTTGCTGAAGAAGTTTTTGATTTTGGTATACTTCTTGGATCATGCAAAATCAAAAAGACTGGTACCCCAAGATCCATGTCTCTTCTGCAAAGATGCTGAATATAAGGTAAAATACATTAAATAAAAGGTATTTTGCTAGATTTAAATTATTTAATAAAAAAGAATGTAATAAAACAGGGAAATTGAGATCTCACAAAACATGTTAAACCCCGCTGCATTTTTGCGCCTGTCCCAAGTCAGGAGCATCTGGCCTTTGTTAGTCTTGTATGTTTTTTTAATTTTAGTTCATTTAAATGTTTTGGAGTTTAGTGTGACGTCCATTTTCACTGAACTAGTACACAATTTTATTTAGGGGCTGGCTGAGGACCACCTCCGGCTGGGGGAATTTCTCGCTGCGTTGAGGACCCATTGGTGGCCTTCGGTTGTTGTCAGCTCTTTGGTCGGGTTGTTGTCTCTTTGACATATTCCCCATTTCCATTCTCAATTTTATGTTAATTTTATATTTGCTCGTAATCCATGATACAAAAACTAAAATGCAGATTGAACATAGATTAAGGAGATAGGAGAAAAAAGAACATTTATTTTATCTCACTGAAAATGCAGGTTTCATAAAGGGAACTAAAGATATTACAAGTACTGGACAATTCTGTAAAAAAAGAATTGAGAGACTGTTCATCATAGTTCATGAGTTTTTTAGCATTCTTCAGGATTCAGTAAAAGTGCCCAATACAAATGAGAATTAAATCAAAATTATGCAGATTTCCCTTATTATCAATTTACCCCTTGGCACTGATTTTGATTTTTTAAAATGACATAATTTTGTGTCTAAGCTTCCCAAAATGTCAATTCCAAAAAAAGCATGGAGACCATTAAGATTGAAGCAAATTTTTTTTTTCATTTTCATATTTAAAAAAAAAGTCACAGAATTGAGACTTAGGCATGCTACTGAACCTCAATGTTTCCACTGGTAGCATCAACAATTGTTGAAGTTGTGGTTAGGTCATGCGATATGCAGGGGGGACATGGAAGGATGGAACTGTATGGTTTTGTCAGTTGTATAGTTTAACAATTGTTAAAGATTGTATAGTATATGATCTGGGTTCAGCTTTAAATTTTATAGAGAAGATTTGTGTTATTTTAAAATTTAATAACAAGAAATGTGTTCAGAGAATACATCAAGAAGTACATTTTTACCATTAAAATTAATATCAAACAGATGATGTTTGCATGATTCTTTAACTATTGTTAAGAAAATGCATAACTTGATTATTATTGTCTCCTATCAAAATATTTTTGTTTTAGATATGTATATTAATCATTCTTTTGTAGACATGTAAAACTATGCTGATAGAATTTTCAAGAGATTATTTGGCAGGAGAAGGTGATATCTCCCGCCATCTTGGTTACCTTGGTTACCAAATCAAACACACTCAAACAGCAATGGATGAATTTGATTATGCTGTTTCAAACCTAGCAACAGATCTCAAAGATGGAATAAGATTAGCGTTAGTATCAATGATCAGTTTAAAAATTTAATTCATTATCAGTCATGGTTCTTGGTTTCATTTGTCCTTGGAAATTGAAGAACTGTTAATGTCAAAATCCTGAATTAATAAACCACAAGTTGTATATCAGAATAAAAAACATTTTTTTTAAATGGTGTTAAACATTTATGATGAAGTAGAAAATAAAAATTTAATATATCTTTTATAGGCGTGTTATGGAGATTCTAAGTGAAGATCATACTCTTACAAAGAAACTAAGAGCCCCAGCCATAAGTCGTCTACAGAAAATACACAACATGGATGTAGTGTTCCAAATCTTAGCCAAACAAGGAGTGAATGTGGACCTGAATGGTTAGTTGCTTTGATTTATTATTACACCCCCGTCCTAAAAGTGGGGGCAATATTGGATTCATATTGCATTCACCTTGTCTGTTGGTCTTTCTGTCTTTCCATTTGTCCAACAAATATTTTGGTCACACTTTTCTCTGACAGAAACTTCTTTACCGAATAACTTCATGTTTGGTCAGCAGCTTGACTGTCATGACAGTAATGAGTTCTAACTTGTGCGAAACTTTTGGATCTGTCAGATACCAACTTATTGTATGCCAAAACTTTAAATATTTTTCATTACACTTTTCTAAGATCCTACTGAGTTATAATGTGTTTGCGCTTTTTAATCAGTCAGACACCTACTTCCTGTATTCCAATACTTTAATTAACGAGTGGGGGTATGCCTAGTATGACATGTATTCTTGTAAGTATTATAATAAATTTTTTCTTCATTTTGTAGCCTGTTTTCTGATTGTTTTTTTTTTTATTTTCATGAACAAAGAAAGTATACTATGTCTTTTGTAATACTCATTGGTATTTAATTCATCTTGAATCCGAAATTTCTGAAAAATAGGGCCATTTCATAAACAGTTCTGAAATAAATAAAAATTGGTGCAGTAAAATCTGTTTGTAGCATTTGATTCTTTTTCGTAATATGACAGTGGTGTCATTGATGTGACTTCAGAGTGGTGATTTAACAAATTTAGCAAGAATGGGCTATTGTCAGGAAATTTTCACCGAAAGTTTTTTGTATGCAAGTTGATTAAAAGTAAACACATTTCCTGAGTAAATATATGTGAGGATTGTTCTCTGAAGTTGAATAATGAAATTTTTGTTTAATTCATCATTTTACATGATTGAGCGTCAATGGCTGTCCAAAGAAAATCAAGATTTTAAGCTCAAATAGTAATGTTTTATTCAAGTACTTAGATTCTACATTAAATTTTGCAATTTTATAAAATTTGAAAAACAATATATATTTAAGGATCAATTTGGCCCAAAATATTGACTCTTAAAATAACTAATTTGTTTTTATACATTTTATCTTGTGTCATTATTTCATGTTGATATATCTAATTTACAGGTACAAAGGTGACATGTAGAGATGTAGTGGATGGTCACAGAGAAAAGACATTGAAACTATTATGGTGTCTTATTGTACAGTATCAGGTAATAGGCAAAAACAGGAAGATCACAACAATGTATATTTTTAATGTGCTTCTTTCTTTGTAATATTTGCAGGAAATAAGCAAGTTATTTGCCAATTTTTTTTTTAAATACCAACTACTTTCATTGCTATATATAAAATATATATATATATATATATATATATATATATATATCAGTAAGACAAAATTAAGCATTTGGAATTGGGCAAAAATGAAAAAAAGTTTTGACTGTTTGAATGATAAGGAATATTTTTTTTACAATTTTTATCTTATATTAAAGCATTACATACTAAGGGAGATGATTCTATATTTGAACATTTTATACTCTCTTCAACTGCAAAAAATGTTAAACTAAAACATTTTCATAGTTTTTCCTGGTTAAAGCATCAAAATATATTTAAATTTTCATGTTTCCTGTTCTCAGAGGTAAATATGTCAATCTGTTTGATTGCTACACAATTTAGTTTGTCAGTAATGCAGTTGATTCAATTGTATGTGAATATTAACTCAACATAGATACCAGGATAAAATTTTGTATGCCAGATGTATGTTTTGTCTACAAAAGACTCATCAGTAATGCTCAAATAAAAAAGTTAAAAGGCCAAATCAAGAAGGAAGTTGAAGAGCATTGAGTACCCAAAATTCTGTAAGGTTTCACCAAATACAGCAAAGGAAATCTATTCCTGGAGTAGAAAATCCTAAGTATTTTGAAAAATTCAAAGTTTTGTAAACAGTTAATTTATAATTATGACCATATCAATGATAATTCATGTCAACATTTTGATTTGTTCACTAGTGATTTTCAATTCAGGTACATTCTTTAGTAATGAGAAAAAAAATAGTCTGTAAATTTTGTCTGTATTAAAATATATGAAGATAAAAGTGCTATTTAGATAAAAGATTATGTCATAGATAATGCATATTTCAAGGTCTTTCTTGTGGTATAACACACCTCGGGGTGTCAGGATTGATCAAATGAAAGACCGACCGATACAGTGTGACTCAATACGATTTTCAAAATCCTACACATGAATTTGTTAAATCTGGTTTGTTTTATTAGTGTTATGAAGGGTTTTGCAATATCAAATTCATCTCAAATATTGTCCCGTTATTGTAGCGATAAATTAACAAAATTTCACATTATTTTTTGCGGACTTTAAACTGTGCGTCCACGACTTTTTTTGTGTAATTCAGTCTAAAAACAGATGACAGGATTGTTTATGTATTTATCCATAGCATGCGATACTATCAAAAGAATTAAATGTTTAAGTAAATTATAGTTTGCATTTTAATCAAGGAAAATAATTACCTTACACAGGTCATTATTTCTGCCTTGAAGCAAATTTCATTGAAACTTGGTATGGTCCCGGTTGATTCTTCACATGAAAGACCTGACGTTCTGAAAGAAAATAACTCCACATAGGTATATAAGTAGAAGTAAAAGGGTTAGAAGTAATTTTTGGTATGCCTCTACAGACTATTTTCATATTGCCAACATTTGACTCTGGAGTTTACAATTTTTCGACAGGTTACCTACTTTGATGTAGGACATTTTGGTACTCGGTCAAGTAAGAAGTACAATCAAGCTTACAATTGGTGCAATTTGGGGAAAACAATTACTGTTTTATGTTTTCTATACATGACAGAATTAGCAGAAAACAGTAAATTTTAATCATAAATTGAACCAATTGTAAGCTCGATTTTACTTCTTATAGTTAAATCAACAATATAAATTTTGCTATTTGATTGGTTACAATAACTTTATATCTGTCTGCCATATGCAATATGGCCTTTACTTTTTTTCAGGCTTTTATGCAGTTCTTTGAAAAAGTATGGGCAATGTCTATCTGATGAAATAATATGTCATAAAGCTGTGACCATATTTTCATGCTTCAGTGTCAACTGTCATGCATTAGAGTATTTTGACATTTTTCAAATTTGCAAATAATTTATAATTTAGGTAAGCTTGTTGTTGAACAAAGAGCAGCTTAAAGAAGAGATCAGGATTCTGGAAAGGAGTCTGATGGTAAGAAATCAGCTGGCTGCCCTACAGAGATATGAAGAATTTCTCAGTCTGAAGAAAAGAGATTCTATAGACCCAGATCTATTCTCACAGAATGAGTTAGTACAGTTGCTGTTGAAGTGGTGCAGAGTTGTCAGTGCATACTATGGAATTCAGGTACAACTTCATGTTTCAGGTCACTGATATAGCTATATGAGCTGTTGATTGGTTTTTTCTTGTTCTGAGTTTTTTTTAATTTATCTAATAAAACCTGTGTAAACATGTCAGATCTAAAAATGAAAGCAAGCATTACCATTTTCTACTTTCAATGATACTATCAGTTTAAAAACTGTTTTCAGTAACCTTTCTGCCTCTTCAAAGCTTGCTTTAAAAAAAAGAATTATTAATTCATCATTAAAATTATACAAAGTGTGCCTTAATTCTTCCCAATATTAATCAGGTTGAAAACTTCACTGTATCCTTTGGAGATGGGCGTGTGTTATGTCACCTGATACACCACTATCATCCATCACTCTTGCCAAGGGAGATAATCAAGTTACAAACCATGATGACTCTGACTGAAGAGACAGACCAGACAAATGACCAGAACAATAGTCTGTCTGATAGCTTTAATCAACCACCATTTACAGGTAGGTGGAAAAAATATGTTTTGTATGAATATAGTCTATGATAAGATAGATCAATGTTGTCAATTCTTAATTTCACAATAGAAAGGGTTTATTATAAAATTTTGGGTCAGTTCACATATTGATGGTATAAAAAAGATATTAAATTTTGGTCTACTTTTAAAATACAGTAGATGAGTATGAAAATGGGGGATAACATTTTATGTCTGTCCCCCAAAGTTTGTTGGATACCTAGTGTAAGATAAATCCTATCAACTGTCAGGGCTATTCCAGAATAAAATTTATGGGGGATTGGAAAGCACTTGAATTATTTTTGTTTGTGTGTGGCAGGTCATGACGTTAAAATTGTGTGGTTATGTCTGCAAAGTAAAATGCAATTGTATGGGTGATGGCCATAAAAAAGGGCCTTCCATATGCCTGTTTAAATGTCATCTTTTCCTATTCCTTCAGAATTAAAAAAAAACGACATTTGATTTCAAGCACTTTGACTTTCATTGGCTTTTCGAAATACTTTTTTACCTTTGGTTACAAATTGATCATATTATAGTATATAGATTGATTGATTGTTGTTTGCTTTACGCCGCATTATAGTATATAGATATAAGAAGATGTGGTATGAGTGCCAATGAGACAAATCTCCATCCAAGTCAAAAATTTATAAAAGTAAACCATTATAGGTCACAGTACGGTCTTCAACACAGAGCCTTGGCTCACACCGAACAGTAAGCTATAAAGGGCCCCAAATATTACTAGTGTAAAACCATTCAAACGGGAAAACCAACGGTCTAATCTATATAAAAAACGAGAAACGAGAAACACTTATGAACCACATCAACAAACGACAACTACTGAACATCAGATTCCTGACTTAGGACAGGTGCAAACAAATGCAGCGGGTTTAAACGTTTTAATGGTACCAAACCTTCACCCTTTTTCTGAAACAATAGTGTAACATCACAACATAGAAAGACACACTATAAAATATCAACTGAAATAGCTTAACTCAATCAAAGGACATATTAACACCATTGACATGTATATGTATTTTATCTGCAGTTAAAGAAGATGATGCATTGTTTGAACAGTTGTTAGCTAATGAAAAAGAAAATTTCAAAACTTTGTATGAAAAGGTAAGTCAGTTTAATATTTAGTGTATGACTTTTCTTTTTCTGCCTTAAATGTCACAAAGTGAAACTTAGATTACTTTTTCAACTTCAGTGAACAGTCAGGGGACTTACTTAAATTAGTGATTTTCTAAATCACTGATTCAAGTAACATTATGTCCATAAAGGTTGGAAGTAAGAGTTGTCTTTCTTTAATAATCACCTATTTAAGTAGTACAAATTAATCACCAAACTAAGTGATTTAATTTTATTGTAGCTTTAAATATAGAATACTAATGATCCAGGGACTAATTATGCTGCTAAAATTATCAGAACCAACATCTGTGTTGATAGGATGACCGGGTCATGTCAGGTGATGACCTTGTACTAAATCTAGGATAATGACATAAAAATCACTTGTTTAAGTATCATACCTCACTTTCCTTCCAAAAAATCACTTCTTTAAGTATTATTTTAATAACCCCCACTAATTTCAATACCCCCGAACAGTGAAATTTTGATCGCGAACAGTAGAATTTTATTACATAATCTATAAGATGAAACCTTGAATTTTACAGGAAAAATACTCCCACTGCTGGGAAAAATCTGTTAAGAAAGTATCAGTTCATTATGTAAAGCCATTTTTATAGCATTTTTCAACTAAAATAGAATTTGCAACTTAATGATAACCTTGCTGCTTGAAAGAAGCAAAAAGTTCATTTTTTTCAATTTTACTAATGAAAAGATATTATCTAAACCTATGTGTTTAAAATTTTGGTAAAACTACAAAATCACAATTTGTGACAAAACTTCGAATTTGCTACTTAAATAAGTGATTTAAAAATCACTTATTTCAATAAGTCCCCTGACTGGTGAATGTCAGCGGCAGTACCAATATTGTTTAATGTAAAGATTCCTGATCAAGTATTAGAGGGTACTTAGTGAGTGATACTTGCTTTCATTGACATGCAGTTCATGTACAATTAAAATGTGTCAGTCCAAAATTCTGTTTTTGGAATCTTCTGCAATGTCTGTGAAAACGTAATGATTATTTTTAAGTTTTCTGACTGCTTCAGTGGTCATGTTGTAGCATGTTCGCCTCTAGTGCAATTAGTTTTGGGTCCAACCATGGCCAGGTCAAACAAAAGATTTTAAAATTTGGTATTTGCTGCTTCTTTGCTAAGCTTGTGGCATTAAGGAGTATGAGCAAAGAATGGTAGGTTCAGAGTCAGAATAATGAGTCCGTGTAGGGTGACATATCTTCCTGTGGAGTGTTACCTTGTGAACTAGCAAATTAAAAATCTGCCTCAGCGTGTTTGTCTAGTACAAAGCAGGATTTATATTCATATTGCATTAACATGTTCTCATCCTCAATATGCATTTGATTTGCTGTTGGACATCCATCATCATCATGATCAAATTATCTGAACCCACTATATTTCTATTTCACAGAACAGTAAACTTTAGTCATTTTTTACAGGATTTCTCCATAATGATTTCTGCATTGTACATAGTTATTGCTTCTTTTGTCAATTCTCCTTTAATTTTCAATAAGCAAAATTATCTCTGAGTGTGAGTGAAAAGTTATTTATTTGAAGATTTTATTAGTCATTACCAGTTTATAGTATTATTTACTTCAATTATTGTAACAGTAAGTTGAATGTGATTAGCATATATAACTTTATTTCAGGTATCAGAATTAGGAGGTATTCCTCTGATGTTAAGATCAGCAGACATGTCTAACACAATTCCAGATGAGAAAGTTGTTGTAACATATGTCACCTACTTGTGTGCCAGATTGCTAGATATACGACATGAGTCTAGAGCTGCCAGAGTTATTCAGTTAGCATGGAGAAGACATCACTTAAAGAAAGTCAAGAAAGAATTTGTGGTAAGATAAGATATTATTGTTATAAGTCTTTATACATACATGTAGAAATAACTTGTGTATTTGGCATTCCTACCTTATTGACAACACACCCTCTGCTGGAGACCCTCTACTAGAGAGTGTGTTGTGAACAAGGTTGGAATGCCTGTATGCAAGGTCAAGGTCAATTCTTTGTATACTCAGATGAATACAAAGGGCAGGGTTCTTCTTATGAGGTTTGTTCACATTCTTTAATTTTTTTTCTATTGCATATGGGCGTGTTTGGTCTGTTCACATGTAAAAAATATATTTCTCTCCTCCTCAATCCTCCTTTACTAAGCAGAAAAAGCATCAGTCAATTATTGTTAGAAAGTTTCAGAGAGTTAGCATCTTGTATGATAAATTACAACCTCTATTTTTAAATTTCATTTTGGTATGAAAAATGACAATCGCAACCTTTTATTCTTGATGTGGATTAACTCTATTTTAAGTTTGACAATTTGAAAAATTTATCTAGCACACTGGTCATTAGTGATTGAGGAGATACATTTTATATGTAATGATTTACACCAAGTCATCTCTTGCAATTCTGAGGTCTCAGCCAGTGAGAATCTGAGACATTTCAAGACAAGCTAAAAAAATAATTTTGAATTTACATAAGTGGCAAATGATCTACAGTAAAGATAAATATTACAGCTATGGTGTGAGAGACATTTTCATTAAGTTGGTTAGGGAAACAATATTTTGACCTTATCTTGATTATTACGATAAATATGTTCCTACCCATAATACATTTATGAACATGTAGTCATGTTGACTTTATTAACAGATAAAACAGAAAGCAGCAACAGTTGTACAGAGAGCAGTGAGATGTTTCCTTCACAAGAGAAGACAAGCAAGACAGGAAACAGCATCTGTTATTATACAAACAGCATGGAGAGGATATAGGGCCAAGAAACTATTGAATCACCTCAAATGGAAGAGAGACAATGAAAAGAAAATTAAAGCTGCAACAGTTATTCAGGTTAACATTAAAAACGAATGCACCTTATAGTGTTAAGAGAAAATTAAGAGTTGATATAAGATCTACAATGTTTGTGACATGTACAGATCATAAGAGCAGAAAGCCAAATGTTTCAGCATCATCTTTCCATGAATGATATTTACAATTATTTACAAAAAGACAAACTTTTCTGAACTGGAAATTTGGTTTTTGGAGACTTCACTTTAAATTAAATTTAAGATATGAAAGAAAAGTACCACTTTAAGTATAGAGGTAACAAACTAAAATAGAAATGTAGGTCAGAATATAATGAGAAAACTATGACTGTCCCAAGTCAGGAACCTGGTCAGTGATTGTCTTCTGTAGTATATATATATATATATATATATATATATATTGTTGGTTATTTGGAGTTGATGGCAGATTTTTGATAGCCTGTATTCAAAACTCTTTGTTTAAACACATAAAGTTTTAGAGCTTGACATTATATAGATACCTATCTATGGTTGAAGATCTGATGATTATCTCTAAATATTCTATTGATTATTTGTGTTGTTTGGTTGATGTCTCAATGACATATACCCAACATCTTCTTTATTTTTTGTATCTATATAGATTTCTAATTTATTGAAGATATAAATAATATGGAGTTTTTGATTTTGGCATATCCTGTGACAGATGTAATGCTTTGTCTGATTGCTATTGTTGTCTGTTCTAACTCTCAAAGTAATACAATGGCAAGTTAAAGAATGATGAAAAAAATAACACAAATACAAACTATAATTTCAAACTGAAAAAAAAAGCTTTGATAGATATGTTACAAGAGTTAGAGAAGAAAATTTTATATGTGATGGATCATTTGGTTTATACTTTTGTGATTTTCATGTCAAATAAGTCTTACTATTTACATATTTGTTTCTATTTTAGAGATACATGTTAGCACGACGAGATAGATCACAGTTCAAGCTTAAAGTCAAAGCTGCAATAACTATCCAGTCTACTGTTAGATCTTATTTACAGCAACAGAGATACCATAACATCATCAAATCAATCAGAACCATCCAATCAAAATATAGAGCTTACAAACTGAAACAGAAATGTAGGTCAGAATATGTTGAGAAAAAGATGGCTGCAATCACCATTCAATCTACCATCAGGATGTTAACTGCTAGGAAAATCATCAAAAGAGAGAAGGCTGCATTGAAGATCCAAACAACTTGGAGAATGTACACTTCCAAAAAAGTATTTAAGAAATCTTTTTTTTCTGTAGTTAAAATACAAACCTATTACAGGATGGTTTGTCAAATAAGAAAATTTACACAGTTGAAAAAGTCAGCTGTTACAATACAGAGATACTTCTCAGCGCATTTACTAATGAGAAAAGACAGAGAGATTTATCAAAAACAACTCCAAAGTTGTCTCAAAATCCAAAGATGGTGGAAATCATTGATTGAATTGAAAAAAGCAAAACAGATTGAAGCTGCCATAAAGATACAGGCAACTTTTAGAAGCTTTGTCCAGAAAAAGCTTTATGTGAAAACAAGAAGACATGTTATCAGACTGCAGGCATCAGCAAGGAGATGTTTAGCCTTCAATCAATACAAGAAACAGAAGCAAGCAGTATTGAAAATCCAGGAATGGTACAGAAGACATTTATTATTACTTAAATGTCAAAAGGAATTTAAACAGCAGAAACAATCTGTTGTTTATCTACAAGCTTGTATCAGGAGATGGAGATGCATGAAGGAATATCAAAATATAAAAACATCAGTCATCAAAATCCAATCCTCTGTGAGGACCTTCTTAGCTGTGACTAGTTTTGACAAAAAGAAGAAAGCTGTAGCAATTATTGTGAAGTATTACCATGCATGGTCAGTTATGAAAATAGAGAAGAGAAAATATAACAATATTAAAAAAGCTTGTGTTGTAATTCAGTCATACTGGAGAGGCAGACAAGTTAGACAGACATTTGTGGAAATGAACAAGGCAGCCATTGTCATACAGGCTAAGTTTAGAGGCCAAATAGCAAGGGATTACTACCTTTGCTTGAAAGAATTAGTCATAGTTTGTCAGAGAAGGTGGAGAACTAAGTTGCAGGAAAGAAAGGAAAGAGAAGAGATAATCCGACTCACAAAGGCTGCCACTGTTATACAGACCATATTTAGAGGCTTTTTAGAAAAACAGAAGTACAGGAGATCCAAGCTCAGCATTGTAAAACTTCAATCAAACATAAGAGGGTACCAGCAGAGAAGAAGATTTGTTCAGTTAAAATATTCTACCTTGTTATTGCAGAAACATTACCGTGCATTCAAAGAATGTCAAAATGTTCGTACAATGTATTTAGTGAAGAAAGGAGCAGCAATTACAATTCAAGGCTACTTTAGAGGATTCATGACCAGGAGAGTGTTGTTCAAAGAACACAAAGCTGCAACAGTGATCCAGTCAGCATACAGGAGATATGTTATCCATTACCAATTCAGTCACTTGAAACAGGCCACACTTACTGTTCAAAGAATATACAGAGCTCATGTATTAGGGTCACACACCAGGACAGAATTTCTTATAAAGAAGGGAGCTGTAATGACACTACAGGCAGCATATAAAGGATGGAAGGTTAGAAAAGGGATAGAACAGCAACATCAATATGCTAAAAAAATTCAGAGTGCCTTCAGAGGATATATACAGCATAAGAACTATCAAAGATTGAAAACAACAGCAGTCCTTTGCCAGAAAGTGTACAGGGCACATGTGCTAGGTTTATATGCAAGAAAAGAATTTATTATTTTGAAGAATGGAGCCATTACTATCCAAGCCTTCTTTAGAGGATTCATGGTGAGAAAGATGTTGAAGAAATTAAATATTTCAGCTACAAAGATACAATCTATATACAGAAGTTTCAAACAGAAACAGAGTTATCTATATATGAGGAAAGCTACTAAAACATGTCAAGCTTTATACAGGGCCAAAATAACTGGAATGAAAGAGCGACACAAATACCTCACGATCAAGATATCAGCTCTAATTATACAAAGATATTACAGATTGTACAAAATCAGAAAAGAGGAACAAGTAAGATATCAAGCAGCATTGAAAATTCAGACCTGCTACAGATCGTACAGAGGTAGAACACAATATTTGAAGTTGAAACAGAATGTAATAAAGTGTCAGCAATTATATCTTAATAAAATGAAGGGAAGATTTTGTAGGAGGCAATATTTGTGCACCAGATCTGCCATAGTAACAATCCAGTCAATTATTAGAGGTTGGAAGGTCAGAAGAGTGTTGTTCAGACAACACAAAGCTGCAACAGTGATCCAATCAGCATACAGGAGATATGTTCTCCATAACAAATTCAGTCACTTGAAACAGGTCACAATTACTGTTCAAAGAATATATAGAGCTCATGTGTTAGGGTCATACACCAGGACAGAATTTCTTATAAAGAAGGGAGCTGTAATGACACTACAGGCAGCATATAAAGGATGGAAGGTTAGAAAAGGGATAGAACAGCAACACCAGTATGCAAAAAAAATTCAGAGTGCCTTCAGAGGATATGTACAACACAATAACTACAGAAGATTGAAAAATGCAGCAGTCATTTGCCAGAAAGTGTACAGGGCACATGTGCTAGGTTCATATACAAGAAAAGAATTTATTAAGTTGAAGAATGCAATCATTACAATTCAAGCAAGATACAGAGGTTTGAAGGTCAGACATGAAATGAAAATGAAAAATGAAGCTGCTACAAAAATTCAGTCGATGTATAGAGGATATGTTCAATATGGACAATTTACATGCTTGAAAGAGGTTGTCCTCTCTTGTCAGAAAATATACAGGAATCGTATCATAGGAGCGAGAATGAGAAAATCATTTCTACTTACAAAAGGAGCTATAATTACATTACAAGCTTTTATTAGAGGATGGAAGGTCAGAAGAATTGTGAGGAGACAGTTTGAAGCAGCAGTAGTGGTTCAGTCTGCTTTTAGGAGACATATTGAACATAAAAAATTCACAAAATTGAAGAAAGCAACTGTTGCATGTCAAAAGATGTATAGAGCTAACATTCTATCTAAACAGATTAGACGACAGTTTTTAATACAAAAAGGAGCAGCATTGATTATTGAGGACTGGTACTGTGCTTGTTTACAAAGGCGTAAAGAAAAGCAAAGACACAGAGGAGCTACTGTGATTCAAAGAGTTTACAGAGGATATAAATTAAGACATCAGTACAGAAAATTAAAGGATGCAGCAGTGATAATTCAGAGACATTACAAGAACTACAGAACTACAAAACTAATGATGAATCAGTATTTAGCCATGCAGGTAGCTTCTGTTATTATACAGAAGTACTGTAGGGGTTATCAGGCTAGGAAAAGGTATGCTAAGGACATTAAACATGTAATTAGAATTCAGAGTGTCATGAAAAGTTATCTGCAACGAAAAAGTTTCATTAAATTGAAGTCTGCAGCTTCAATTTGTCAGAAAAGATTTAGAGCTGCCTTGTATGGCTATAAGCAACGATTGGCTTTCTTGAAGGTTAGGTCAGCTGCAGTTTTATTACAGTCACATGTGAGAAGATGGCGAGCACAGAGGACTTACAAAACACAATTATCTCACATTGTGACAGTTCAGAAATGTTTTAGAGGATATTTAGCTCACAAAAACTTCCAGTTAGTGAAGAAAGCAGTGTATATAATTCAGACTAGATGGCGTGCTGTGATGGAAATGCATAAAATTCAAACAGTTTATTTAACTAAGAAGGGTGCAGCTATCACAATTCAGTCTAGTTGGAAAGCGTATTTGGCTAAAAAGGAATACAAAAGATTGTGTTGTTTAACTATTAAATTACAAGCTCTTGTGCGTAGCAGACAACAAAGACTGAAGTACATGGATCTGAAATTGTCTGCTATTACAATTCAAAGACATGTAAGAGCCTGCTTGACTGGCAAACACATTAGAATGGAGTATATCAAAACAAAAGAGACAGTTGTCAAATTGCAAGCATTTGTCAGGGGAAATCAAGCAAGAATGTTGCTCAAGAGAATGATAGCCTGTATCACAATTCAGTCCCAATACAAACGATATATATGTGCCAAGAATTACCAAAGAATAAAAAGAGCTGTGATAACAATTCAGTCCCAGTTCAGAGGTATGTTGGAGAGGAGAAATTTTCAGAAGAAAGTGGAAGCTGTAGTCAAAATACAGAAATGTGTGAAGAGGAGATCCTTTGCAAACCGGGTAAAAAATTATTTAGAGGAAAGAAGAAAAAGTGCCATACTGATACAAGCCTGGTATAGAGGCTACCAGGACAGGAAAACTGTTCACAGGCTTAAAGCTGTTATAAAGATACAGGCTGTGGCTAGAATGAAACTTCAGAGACTAAAGTATAAAACTCACATTACAAATGTTATTGTTGTTCAGAGCTGTGTTAGAAGATATTTAGTTCAAAAGGAAACAGGAAAATTAAGGAAAGAAATTAGGGCTGTCACTTGTATACAGAAAGCTTATAGGAAGTTCAAAGAAAGACAAAACATGAAGGTTAGTTAATAGTATGGATAGATTTTAGCCAGTTTTAATCTGTAGTTATAGTGATAATATAATAGTTAGATCTTTTGAAGTAAAATTAAACTAGAGCAGTAGAAGGGTGTGTCATCCCGAATTCCTGAAAAAAGTTAATCATTAATTCCCAAGTTCTGAGTGTAAATCATGAATTCCTGCAAAAATAAAGGCCCAACTCTGAATTCCCGCAAAAATTTCACAAATTAAATCAACGAAAATTAGATATTAAAAAATCCTGGCAAGATTTCTTTTTTTTGGACATTTGAATGGTGGCATATTTCATGGATATGATACAACATTGTATAGATTTATCATAAACTGAATAGACAATATTGATTTTAAATCTTGTGTGATTTTATCTGCATATTTAAACATTGACAGTAGAGTTAAAATTATATAAACTTTCTCTTACAGTTACAGAAAAGAGCTAGACAAGCATATGTAAAGAAATTTACCAAAATGATATGGGTGAACTTAGCTGCTATTACAATACAAAGATTTTACAGAAAGTCCAAACTGATACAGCAAGCTAAAGAAAAACTCAGCAAGATTATCATCATACAGGTAAAGTCTACAGAATCAATTGCAAAGACTGTGAAACAAGGGTGTACATTTTCTGATAGCATATTTATAATCATTGATTCTTTTACTCCTTAAAAAGTTTGTTATCTGAATCATACTATAATAGATAGAAATAGATGTTAAATTGTTCTGAAGTCACCATGAGAAAGATATATAGTTAGAGCTCTTATACAATTGTATGTAGGCTGAACAATTTTTTTTTTAAATTATGATTGTTCTTCATCTTCCAGCATTAAGTTAAATCCAACCAATATCATTGTTGAATATTGAAAGTTGTGCACACAAAAGGTGTCATGTTTACTTTTCAAGATCATGTCAAGTATGAATTATCCAATCAAATCTTGTTATTTCGTATCGACTGATACTCTTTTTTGTCTTCAAATGTCAATCTTAATTACATCGCTTGAGTAAACATCTAAACAAAGCTTATAAACAAGTCAATCAAACATTTGGTCTACATGCACAATTATATAAAATCTCAAAAGTCATAAAGAATAGATTCATAGATAGAAAAATATGTTAAATGAAAATAAACTCAGTGATTTTGAATAAAACCTTGATGTCACTTACAAGTGACTATTACTCATAAGATACATCTAATTTTCAGCATTTTAGCTTCTATAGTCCAGGGTTATCCTTCTAAAAATAGGAAATCGGCAAATAATGTATAAAAAGCATAACAGGAACTACCATAATTATTGTCAGTACAACAGACAACACAACCACTAACACCCTAAACTGGTCATTTTGGGGCCCTTTATAGCTTGCTGTTTGGTTTGAGCCAAGGCTCCGTGTTTAAGGCTGTACTTTGACCTATAATGGTTTACTTTTACAAATTGTGACTTGGATGGAGAGTTGTCTCATTGGCACTCATACCACATCTTCTTATATCTATCTACAAACAAACAACAAAACAACACATTGTACAGATAGTCTGACTTAGTACAGGAACAAAATGTGGTGGGGTTAAACTGGTTTTACAAGTGAACAAACCCACCCTGTAGCCTATCTAGAGCATATGTCGTAATAGTAAAAACCATTAATAAAAAAACTTCACAGGATGACCTTTAACTAGAACAAGGAAATAAAAGTATAATTTGGAAAGCCTGATCAAAATGTGTTATAGTTTCTGTTTAATATTAACATTATGTAGTGTATAGATCACTTGTTCTTCTGTGGAACACATGGAAATAGACGGGTCATCTATAAAATGTACCAACTGTTTATTTGGTTTTTTTCTCAGTCTGTAGAAAAACTCACATATCATAAATTGTGTTTCTCTTGATTTATTAAATGAGGAATTTAAGAATTAGTAATCTAGTCTGACTAGTTTCCTTGAAAATAATGAGGTACGAGAAAAATATCTAAATGATTTGTGGGGATTATAGGGAAAAATATTCTGTTAACACTAAAGTCTCTCAGAAAAAAATATATTTGTACATTTGTTTCATTAGTAGTAGATCAGCACTTTCTTAAGCATAATAACTAATATGATATGTATTTCAGAGATGGATAAAGGGGAGACTTTGCAGACTGAGGTATTTGAAGCTCCAGAGGTCTATAGTTCTCCTACAGAGGAAAGCCAGGCTTCTTTTGAAGACAAGACAGGAGGCTGCAGTAAAGATACAGACAGCTGTCAGGAAATGGCTTCAAATCAGGAAACAGAAACATAAAATAAAAGCCATCGTGAAGATACAGGTGATTTTATAAACAAGAATATTAAATGATATCACAGTAGTTTGTAAAACATGCTGTAGCTATAAAATTAAATAACCTCTGTTGTCCAACAAATTACAATGGAAATTTAAAGAATGATGTGACTTTATTTTCTTTTTGGGGTATGAACTAGGAAATTATCTATACTCATCAGATTCTGAATCTGCAAATTTCAAGAAACTCTGAAACCATGTATATGTGCGTTATAATTTTTTATCCTTTATAGCAGGTACTGTAAATTCAGAAATTATTGGGTATAATGAGAATGAGTGAGTATCGCAATAATAAGAACTCACATTCTAATATCTGATACATATATCTGCATCCATATTTTTGTCCATTCTTCAAAAATTGCAATAATAAATATTATGGATTGAAGTATTGATTGGACCAAAATTAAACTCGTCTTTATTCTATTACCTTTCAAATTGTAATGGATTTAACAGACATTTATTTGCAACGCTTGTATAGGTGTTTTAAATTATCTTGTTTGTGCTGTATTTAGACCTTTTTACCAAGAAATTTGTTTTGCATGCACACGTATAAAAATTGCGGTTATTATCCAACGCAATCATAGGTTTGAACTTGTTTTCAATTATCTATATTAAGGACAAGAACATGTTAGTGTGAAAAAATGTATACCATGTTTATGACTGACAGGATAAGACATGTTTGTAACATGGTGGCTATCACGGTAGCAGTTGTATTAGTTTGTGATAAGGTCAGTTCAAGGGGAACCATTAGTGGTAGGCCAATGTTAATTGGTGTTCAGTTGTATAAGCATTAGCACATCTCATTTCCATGGAGGATATTTGGCCCCGCCCCCTCAGTCATGGTCTATTTACTTTGAAATTTTTGCTTAGTTTACATGTATTAGTTTGTGATTAGATCAGTTTAAGATGAACTGCTAATGTTAATTCAATGATATTTGGTATGCAAATTTATTGGCATTGGCAAGTATCGTTTCCATGGAGATTATATAGCCCCACCCCTGATCATGGTTCATTGACTTTGAAACTTTTACATAGTTTACAAGTTAATGTTTGTGTTTAGGTTTGTTTAAAGGGAACGACTTATAATAAGTCAATGGTATTTGGTATGCAGTTGTATTAGCATTGGCACATCTCATTCCATGGAGATTGTTTACCCATGTACCTTCAGTCTTGTTCATTGACTTTGAATATTTGCATTACTTACATGTTAAAGTATTGCTATTTTAATTTCAACATTTGCATTATCAAAAATACAAAAAGGCGAGACATATCTCTGTGATAACAGTTTATTGTTTGAAGAAGTTGGAGAAAACCACTGACCTGTGGTAGGAAAACTAACAATCCTAGTTAAATAAGATTGGAGTCAAACGCACCTGCCAGCAGGCTATGAAGAGTTGGCAATGATGTACAGAAACTGAGACAAGTATTTTACTTTCACCTGTCATATTTGAAAGATGTACATTTTGTTATTTGGAATATTTTATCAAAATTTTGTTTTAATCTTTTAATAGGCAATTTGGAGAGGTGAACAAGTAAGAAGGAAAAGTATTGGACAAAAGATAGAAAAGATTCGGAAGAGAGTTGAAAAAGCCAATAGATCTGCCACTGAAGAAAACAAACTTGGAAACAGAATGGCATCAGCTTTAGATTACCTACTAAGATACAAACAGTTATCTCATATCCTAGAAGTTCTTATACATTTAGGTAAGAATATCTAACATTTTTATCATTTCACTAGCAGTTAAGGAGAAGTTAATGGAAGCAGTATGTTCATAGTAGTTGGTTTTTGTCTCGTCCGTTACAAAAGTCGCAGTATGCGAGACAGGTATTACAATCTGGTGAGGGCAATGGCGTAAACTATTTGTTTAAAGCTTTATATTTCAGAAGGTAGAAGACCTGGATGCTTCATACCATGTGTGCAGATACCTTATGTTATGAAGTTTCCGTCTGTCATATGTCTAGTGTCCTTGAACTTGATCTTATTCCATGGATCAGCGATCAAGATTAAAGCTATGTGGTCAAGTCCGTATCTCAGATACTATAAGCAATAGGTCAACTATATTTGGTGTAAGGAATGATTATTAGGTGTACATGTGGAACTGACAGGTTTCATCAGACCTTGACCTCAATTTCATGGTTCATTGGACAATGTTTAGTTTTTGTGGATTGTGTCTATTTCTCAGATACTATAAACAATAGAGCCACTATATTTGGTGTATGGAACGATTGTCAGATTTACATGTCCATCTGCCAGGTTTCATCTGACCTTGACCTCAATTTCATGGTTCATTGGACAATGTTAAGATTTTGTGGTTTAATCTGTTTCTCAATTACTATTAGCAATAGGACCACTAGATTTGTTGTATGGAATGATTGTAAGGTGTACATGTCTGTCTGGCATGGTTCATCTGACCTTTACCTCATTTTCATAGAACATTGATAATGTTAAGTTTATGTGATACTTGTTTTAAAAATGTTAAGTTTATGTGATACTTGTAGTAAAACCTTCATATGAGAGAGTTTCAACATGAATTTAATAAGTGAAACAGGCGAGACATTTCAGCGTGTGCACTCTTGTTTTTAATAGAAGATAATATTACTCTTACAATAGATCTATTAAATCAAGGCCAATGGCTGCAATTGGTTTCATCCTAATTTGACAGTTTATCTTATTATGTATGGATGAAGGCATTAAAATTAATTGGAAGACAAGGAATATTCACTTGATCAAATTTTTTATTTCGATTTGTATTCTTCAGATGTGGCCACACGTTTATCAGCAGCATGTTGTGAGAAGTTTGTGTCTGTCAATGCTGTACATGTGATCTATCGACTCATGAGAGGATGTAATAGAAGTCAACCTCATATGGAACTTATCAAATACTCTGTCAGCATACTACTGAACTTAGCCAAGGTAAACTATTTTCATCTGATTTGGTCTACATAAAACATAGATTTTACTGCCGTTATTTGAGTTTACCAAGTAATTCTTTTGAATGAAGGTAAATGGATATTTTTTGCCACGGTAACAAATACATCTTATAAAATGCTTTCAAGGAATAAAAAGAAAAATTGGGTCACTTTTTTCTGGCTACATAACATTATATTGAAAAATTTACTGTGCATTCTACATTGTATATTAAAACTTAATTATGGGAAGAATCTTTATTGATTAAAATATTTAATCAATCAAAATATTATCTCTTTTTTGTCGAGCCTGCGACTTTTGTCGTAGAAACCTCGACATACGGATAGTGATCCGGCGGCGGCGTTAGCTAACTTCTTAAAAGCTTTATATTTTAGAAGGTGGAAGGTGTGGATGCTTCATACTTTGGATATGGATGCCTCATGTTACGAAGTTTCCGTCAGTCACATGTCCAATGTCCTTGACCTCATTTTCATGGTTCAGTGACTACTTCAAAAAAAAGTTAAGATTTTTTGTAATGTTAAATTCTCTCTTATTATAAGTAATAGGATAACTATATTTGGTATGTGTGTACCTTGCAAGGTCCTCATGCCCGTCAGATAGTTTTCACTTGACCTCGACCTCATTTCATGGAGCAGTGAACAAGGTTAAGTTTTGGTGGTCAAGTCCATATCTCAGATACTATAAGCAATAGGTCTAGTATATTCGGTGTATGGAAGGACTGTAAGGTGTACATGTCCAACTGGCAGGTGTCATCTGACCTTGACCTCATTTTCATGGTCCAGTGGTTATAGTTAAGTTTTTGTGTCTTGGTCTGTTTTTCTTATACTGTATGCAATAGGTCTACTATAATTGGTGTATTGAATGATTGTAAGGTGTACATGTCTAGCTGGCAGATGTCATCTGACCTTGACCTCATTTTCATGGTTCAGTGGTCAAAGTTAAGTTTTTGAGTTTTGTTCTTTTTTTCTAATACTATATGCAATAGTTCAACTATATTTGGTGTATGGAAATATTTTATGATCTATTTGTCAGTCACGCAGGTTTTTTTTACCTTGACCTCATTTTCAAGGTTCATTGCTCAGTGTTAAGTTTTTGTGTTTTGGTCTGTTTTTCTTAAACTATAAGCAATAGGTCAACTATATTTGTTGTATGGAAGAATTGTTAGCTGTACATGCCTGCCTAGCATGGTTCATCTGACCTTGACCTCATTTTCATGGTTCATTGGTCAATGTTTAGTTTACTTGGTTAATGTTAAGTTTATGTGACAGTTGTAATAAAGCTTTATATTTAGGACTATCAACATAATATCAATGATTAGTAAAGAAGGCGAGACATTTCAGCGTGTGCACTCTTGTGTAAAAACAAGTTATACCTATAAGATAATATCATATGAATTTCCTCATTAAAATGAAAATCTTTATTAGAATTTGCTTATTTCAGTAGAAATTTTGATAAATCATTTGCAAACTATTTAGTAATAGTATTAAAAACTGGACTGTTAATTTTATCTTTTATTTCTAGAAAATATATGTACCTTACTGTGTTTTTTTTTAAATTATTGATCATGATGTCTCTTTTAATAACTTGTTGGAGTTTGAGATATTCCATAGTAACTTTCTTCTTCTCTGAGGAAGTTTAAATAGAAGGGGTTGCTGATGAACCACAATGTCTTCTTTCTTCATATAACAATTAACCAATTTATACTTGACAGTATGAGATGACAGTGTATAACAATTAACCAATTTATACTTGACAGTATGAGAAGACAGTGTATGAAGTTTACAATGTGGATGGCTCTGTAGATACATTGATAGAACTGATGCAGATCTACAGGGAGAAAGGAGCCATCTTTAATTCTACCTGTATGTTGCTTGGCATTCTGGGAATGTTGGACAAATGTAGAAGGGTAAAGTTTATTTCTAAATTAGTTCAGAAGATTGACATGTAAGAAAATCTAACAGAAAATAGGAAATAAGGCCATTCTGACTGGAGGAAACTTTTTGCCCTTGGCCATTATGCATCAATCATGCCTTTTTTCCTACCAAAAGGGTCATATTAGAAAATTTACTGATATTTTTAGTTTGAGCAAAAACTTAATTCATGAAACATTTTTTTGCAGCTTGTCTCATGTTTTTATAAGTTATAATAACTTAATGTACTATAATGGTATGTGTGTCATTTTTTGATTGGACTAAGCTATCTGTTAGGATACATTTTAATTAAAAGCAGGTAGGTATGAAATATTTTATATTTAAATAAAAATGAATTTGTATTACAGGATAAACTATAACTTGTATTGTGCTGGTCAGAAAATAAGAATAACAAATATAGTATTATGTCCTACCTACTTGATTTATTTTGAAATTTTGTGTTAGGTGTTATGACTTATAGGGTTGGCAAAGTATTAATTACCCTTGACCAACTTTTTTTCCGGTCTGGGCAATACCCTCAGAAGTGAGTAATATTGGGCAATGCCATTCTAATTGTATAGTGCAACATTGTTCAGTAACATTTAGTTGACTTTGACCAATGTGCCATTGAATCTTCTAAAATTGATGTATTGACCAATTCATAAGCCATATCATATTTATTCAGTATTTCTAGTGGATCAAGCTGCTGCATTGAACCAGTAACTAAGATATACAAAAAAACCAAAAGATAACACATCAAAATCTGCTGTTCATTGAAAATCATGCATTGTATTGTAATGGCAATCAGAAAGGCAGACAAAAATTTGCTGTACATAATTGCAAAATCAATTGCTTTGAATGGCAATTCGGACAACAGATCATATTGTATCTGCTAAAATGATAGCTTGTTATAGGGTGTGATTAATATAAGAATAGAAAATACCCTATGTATATTGTAGTTTTCTACTCCGTTAAATTTTGTCGATTCCTATTTTTAGGAGATTCACCAAGACAAGAAACTATCTGAGAAAATCAGGAGCATTCACTTACTGACAGCACGAAAACACAAGATAGATGAGAGTAGACAATTACGACAAGCTAGACTATTGGCAGCTAAAAGTTTTAATTGTTCACTACCTATACATCATAAAAAACAACACAAGATTAAACCAGACTGGGTTCTCAGGAAAGATAAGATGAAAGAAATACAAGACCCGTTGTCTGCCGTCAGCTTTGTTATGGATTCTTTTCAATTGAAATCAAAATAATGTATTCTGGTCATCATATAATGTAAATGTTCTGTCTTTCCTAAATCTCTCTGTCATCTTCTGCTTTGTTAGCACTTTATTGTGTATTATTACCATTTGTTGTACATGTATAATCAATCAATCTTCATACAATTATTGCATATTGAAATGTAAAACTTTATAGCAATGACTGATATTCATGATCATCTTATAGCTTGTTGATTTTAGTTTTTGTGAAGTATTTTAGTTTAGTTTTTTTAACTGCAGTAATCTTTATGTTTTGGAATATTGTATGAGAAGTATAAGTTTGCTAATTGTTTCTGTGTATTAATGATGTTTGTTGAGCTTACAATTAACACATACATTAATTTTGGAAATAAAATAATTTCTGAGAACTTTTTCATACAAAATGTGAGTAGCAGATAACCTAAAGTGCCTCCTTGCATATATACATTCTTGTAGGAATTAATTTACTATATAGTATTAGTTTTGCTCATTGTTGAAGGATGTACAGTCTCCTGTTATTGCTCTGGTCTTTAATGGATAGTTGTCTCATTGGCAATCATACCACATCTCCTCATTATTTAATGAAGTTGTTTGTTTTGATTATTATTTTTATCTGTGAATTTCTTATTGTTGGTGAGAGGATGTAAAATGAAAATTTTAGTTAGATTAATCATGCCAAACAATTGTTATAGTTTAAAGCAAACCTACTTAAGATTCGGGCAGTGGTGTAAAAGGGGGGGGGGGGGGGAAGGTGCTATTAAAGGAGGAGGTATGATAAGAGTTATTATTTGGCCCTGGAAATTGAAAAAAAAATAGTAATTGCATAAAAATAGTAATTCAAGCCTTTGAAAATTGTGTTAATTTTATTGATAAATGACCAAGTTGTTTTGATCTGAAACTTAGCTAGGTGCATAAATGTCACTTGTGATGTCAGTATGATGTCATAAACATGTCGAAGTTTACTTATTTGATCTAGAATGGCCATTTTATGCATTATATTTTTGTCAAAATATATATGAGGAAGAAGCATTACCAAAAAGATATTTTATACTCATTGATATCTTTGTAAAATACATTTTGTAGCAAAATATCTTTTTGGGTTAAGCTCTTGCTTATATCTCACTATTAATGACATGATCTCAAAATGAGGCAATTTTGGCAGTTTTTTTATGTTTAGTAATAAATGTAAGAAGTTTGAAGCCCTAGTACCAATATGCAAAATTATAAATACAAATTTGAGCCAGACAAATGTCTTATGAAAGGGACCATAAAAGGTCAGCCAGACAAATGTCTTATGAAGGGGCCAAAAAGTGGCCTTATTATACTGAATTGAATCCACAATGACAAAAATTACATTCATTTCTTAATCTTTAGCTGAAAATATAAATCATATTGGATACCCAGTAGAATAAATGATTCAGTAATATCATTCAAAAATCTGACAACTGGAGATAAAAACCATTAGGAATGTTAACCAATAGACAAATAGAGATAATCAGTAATATAATCATTCACAAATCTGACGAGATAAAAACCATTAGAAATGTTAACCAATAGACAAAGGGAGATAATCAGTAATGTCATCATTCACAAATCTGATAACTGGAGATAAAAACCATTAGGAATGTAAACCAATAGACAAAGGGAGATAATCAGTAATGTCATCATTCACAAATCTGACAACTGGAGATAAATAAACCATAAGTAATGTAAAGCAATAAACAAAGGGAGATAATTCAGTAATATCCTTCAATAATCTGTCAACTGGAGATAAATAAATCATAAGGAATGTAAATCAATAGGAAAAGGGAGATAATTCAGTAATATCATCCTTCAAAAATCTAACAACTGGAGATAACCATAAGGAATGTAAACCAATAGACAAAGGGAATTCAGTATTCTTCAACAATGAGAAAACTGAAGATAAATAAAGCAATAGACAAAGGAAGATAATTCAATATATATGTCAAGACATTTTTTGTCTTTAGTAGATAAATGAGCCTCCTCATGGGTTTTTTGATTATGTGATTACTTGGCCGTTTTTATAGTGATTATTTGATTACCAGACCAAATATTTCATGATTATTTGATTATTTGATAATCTAGGACTATATTTTTGATTATCTTGTTTAAAAAATTAATTAATGATTATGTGATTATATTGGCAAAAATTTTTTAATTATGTGACTACTCGACACCCCCATGAGGGGCCTCATAAATTATCTGAATTTAATAAGCTTAAAGAAACGAAAGCCCAACCTTTTCTGACTTCAGGAAAGTTATAAAGATTAAATTTACATACTAAATAGTGTGGTAGGCCTACTAGAACTTTTATGACCATTTTAAATGAAAGAATTTTATTGAATTTTAATAGTCGTCAGAGATTAGCACTTAAATACCTCATCAATTTACACTCAATTAGTAATTTTTCAGTGATGTATTATGCATAATTTATCTTACTTTTAATATGAATTTTTAATGAAAAAATGTATGCATGATTGTTTTAATATTCACACCTGAAAGTATTGTATGAAGAATTAACAGTGTATCAACAAATAGTATTGATATAGGTGACTACCTTGTGTAAACATTACAGTAAAACATGGGCAGTTTACAGAGAGCTTTTCAGAGTAAATGAAGGTTACATCACATGTGTTTTTATTTACTAATCTGAATTCATTTTACTCTCCACTGACCATGAAATGTGTTTTAATATATGTGCTTTGATTGAAAATTGAGAATGTTTGGATTTCATCAACAGAATGTATATTCTACTACGCAGCACAAATAACCGTAGTAAAACTTGTCGTTCCAAAACAAGAAAATCTACTATCAGAGGATGTATATATTTTAATAAAGTCATTTTTTACAATGAACACCAGTTAACCCCAGTCATAGCTTTCATTCATTAGACTCAATCTAGACACGATTCACTGTGCTCATCCTAGTTATTTGTACTTATCAAAGTGAAGGTAATATAGCAATGTCTAAAAGGGGTACATAGCGGCATTACTTTGAACATATGTTGTCATTGTTTTTTAAATCATGATTGTATACTACAAAAATACATCATTGTTATTGAAAATAATCATATTATTACTTTAAAGTTACATGAATATGTAAAAGTATTAATAAACTATACAGAAAAAAAGATTGCAGTGGTTCTTGTTGTCTTGACTGTGATGAATATTGCGAAGGCGAGAAATATGTTTAACTTGTTATGCGGTATCAGTCAAACTTAAGTTTCTAATTAGTATGAAAATAAGGTGACATGGTATGTATGAAAATGATGTGCATTTCCGGATAAATACTTATGATACACCATTGGTAATTAATATACAGTTACTCCTCCACCAGTATCCATGCATCTCAATTGTATTCAGTTTATGAGAACTTGCCCCTCAGTGATGCTATTTGACTTACATGGTTATGTATCATCCTAATTCTATGACAGTTGTGGTCTGTTTCCTTTTCCTGATGTTAAAAACTACAGGAAGGAAAAAATTTTATTAAATTGGTGAAGTACAGAGTGCATGTGGATAGCCGGCTGCCAACAGTTTCCATGCAATAACTTATGAACCTTTCTACCAATGGTTTTCAAATTATATGTTTTTACTGATGAAAAAATGGAGGTCCAGTTCAATATTGATTATTTTAACTTTTGCTGTCCAGAGTTATGATTCTTGGTAGATTGAAATGACACTTTATGTCATTTCCGTGCAATTTCTTATGAACTGTTCAACCATTGCTCTTAAAATTTTAATATATTGTTACTGATGACAAAATGGTGGTAAAGTTTGATATTGTTGATTGTTATATTTGCCATTCAGGAGTTTTGGTATATTGGAAAATAGGCATAGAATATGACAGGTTAAAAAAGCCTGAAAGCGCCTTTCAAAATACAGAAAATCTTGTTTGCTGTCAGTTTGAGAGCTCCTTCCTTGTTATGGCATTAAGTTCATAAACTGATGCATGTCTCAAAAGAAGGTTCTTTTCATATAACCACTACTATTTTCTTTGACATTTCTTGATATAATTCATTTCAATTTATACTTCTGTTTAGACAACTAATCAAATTCCCATTACTTAAAAGCATATATATTCTGAATTTTCATGATAAGACCTTTCAATGCACAATAGGTTTTGTGCTCAGGGTCATCATGCCTGTCCTCATTACCCGAATTAATGAATATCTTGAAAGCTGTTCATATCCCCAGACCATTCCACATATATATTCTGAATTTTCATGATAAGACCTTTCAGTGCACCATAGGTTTTTCACTGGGGGCCTGTCTCCCATAACATGAATTAATATCTTGAAACCTGTTCATATCCCCACCAATTAAACCATGTATATTCTGAATTTTTGTGATGAGATCTTTCAGTGCACAATAGGTTTTGTTACTCGGGTTCATGGCCTGTCCTCTCATAACCTGAATAGATGAATATCTTGAAAGCTGTTCATGTCCTAATCACTTAACCATATATATTTTGAATTTTCATGATAATACCTTCCAGTATACCATAGGTTTTTATCTGGGGGTCATGGCCTGTCCTCCCATAACATGAATTAATGAATATCTTAAAAGCTGTTTAGATTCCAACCTAAACCAAAACATAGTTTTTATCTTGCTTCCAAATTTTTTTCCAAAATCTAGTGGTGGTGACAGTGTAATTTACTTGTATTAAGCGTTATTATGATAAAAGACAGAAGATCTGCATAATTTGTACCATGTTTACAGATGCCTTATGGTCTGAGGTCTGGCATATGTCTTTTTTTTAATCTCATTTTCAAGGTTCAGCGACTGCTTTAAAAACTAGTTTTTTTATAACATGATTTTGTCAGTTATCATGAGTAATAGGGCAGCTATGTTTGGTTTATATAAAATATGTTCAAGGTATACATGTCTGTCAGACAAGGTTTTCCTGACTTTGACCTTATTTTATGGGTTGGTGGTCAACGACGTTAAGTTTCCATAATGTGGTCTGTATCTCAAACACTTTAAGCAATATGTCCGCTATATATGGTGTAAAGAATGATAAGATGTACATGTCCATCTGGCAGGGTTCATTGGACCCTGACTTCATTTCATAATTTGTGATTTTTTTTTTAGGTTGGGCAGATACAAATAGCAATATGTTTCCTAAAAGTGTACAGAATGATTGTAAGGTGTTCATATACCTCTGACAGGGTTCACCTCATAGCCTCATTTTCATGTTAAAATTGAGAACGGAAATGGGGAATGTGTCAAAGAGACAACAACCCGACCATAGAACAGACAACAGCAGAAGGTCACTAACAGGTCTTCAATGCAGCGAGAAATTCCCGCACCCGGAGGCGTCCTTCAGCTGGCCCCTAAACAAATATATATACTAGTTCGGTGATAATGAATATATATTCTGAATTTTCATGAATTTAGCATTGGTCAATGTTAATTTCATGTCCTGTTCTTCGATACAATAAGCAATAGGTCACCTTTATTTTTGTGTAGAAAATATCTGTGATAATTGACCTCATTTTCATGGTTCATTTGTCCATGTTAATTTTTCTTGATTGGTTTAACTTCTCAGATACTATAAGCAATTAATAGTCAACTTTATTTGGTGAATAGAATGATTGTAAGGTGTACATGTCCCTCTACCAGTTTTCTTCTGACTTTGACCTTATTGTCAATTACCATTGATAATGTTGAACACATAGACGTTGCGCACAATGTTGGTACTACTTAGCGTTTCACGACGTTCCTTAAAATAAGGCGATTTCGACGATTTCAAAGAAAGTTTCGGGCGTTCAAGCATATTATTGATGAGGTCAATTTACTGTAACAGTTGTGAATTTGGTACCTGATTTCGGTCTGTCTGAAAAAATGCATAATTTTACAAATAAAACTCAAAGTGGTCGTATAGATATATTTTTTTAAATGAATATTCATTTACAGGAGTTGTCAGTCTTTCCAGGCCATAATTGATAATTTTCCTTTCCTTTTTTTTTTTTGTGGCTTATGCATATCATTTGTTTGTTATAATTGCCAGCAATGGTTTTTCTCTCTTTTATTTTATTAAAAAAAAATTATACATGTTACTTTTGACGATTTAACACTTGCAGATAGACAATGTTTCTTATATAAAACAAATATGCTATAAAAAAAAACTAAGATCCCGATATTTTTTTTATATCAATCTCATTTGGTCAATATTTGAATTTAAACTTAAACTACTCCTTTCTCATACATTGGTTGTATTGTAAATTATACATTTATATTTATTTTCATTCGAATTAAACTGGAAACAAATAATTACGATATAAAATTAAAAACCCGAGCATGACATCAATTACGTTTTGCGAACGTTGGGACAAAACGGCTATACTTTTTGAAACGATCTAAAAACCTTATTGCCCAAAGAAAAAATATTAAACACTATATTGTTTAAAAAGAAAAACAAAAAAACCTTTACCGCCAAGTTTTATTTTCTATGATCTAACTATGCTTATTTGATAGACAGCTGGTTAAAACCTCAATTTTAAAGAAAATACAGCGTTTTTTTTCGTTGGGACAAGATGGCTATACTTTTTGAAGTCATTGCAATAGAAACTATACGCATGGTTTCCGGCAAAAAAATATCATGAACCAGGAGAAAAGTAAAAAAACTTTCAAAATATAATAAATATTTTTCCTGTCAGCTTTTTCAATTTCACAGTAAAAATGCGCAAACCCGAAATATTCTTACCTTGCACATGCTTGGACATTTTTCAGACCGTTTTAAAAAATAACATTTTCCGGATTACGGTTTCAGTGATAT